TATTAGTGTTATTGCTAGTGTTAGTGCTAGTGTTAAGGCTAGTATTAGTGTTAGTGCTAGTGATAGTGTTAGTGATAGTGTTACTGCTAGTGTTATGGCTAGTGCTAGTGTTAGTGCTAGTGTTAGTGATAGGGCTGGTGCTAGTGTTAGTGCTAGTGTTAGTGCTAGTATTAGGGCTCGTGCTAGTGTTAGTGCTAGTGTTAGTACTAGTGTTAGTGATAGGGCTGGTGCTAGTGCTAGTGTTAGTGCTAGTGTTAGTGCTAGTATTAGGGCTCGTGCTAGTGTTAGTGCTAGTGTTATTGTTAGTGCTAGTGCTAGTGTTAAGGCTAGTGCTAGTGGTAGTGCTAGTGTTAGTGCTAGTGTTAGGGCTACTGCTAGTGTTAGTGCTAGTGTTAGGGCTAGTGTTAGTGCTAGTGTTAATGCTAGTATTAGGGCTAGTGTTAGTGCTAGTGTTAGTGCTAGTATTAGGGCTAGTGCTAGTGTTAGTGCTAGTGTTAGGGCTAGTGCTAGTCTTAGTGCTAGTGTTAGTGCTAGAGTTAGGTCTAGTGTTAGTGCTAGTGTTAGGGCTAGTGCTAGTGTTAGTGCTAGTGTTATTGCTAGTGTTAGGGCAGGTGCAAGTGTTAGTGCTAGTGTTAGTGCGAGTGTTAGGGCTAGTATTAGTGTTAGGGCTAGTGTTAGTGCTAGTGTTAGGGCTAGTATTAGTGTTAGGGCTAGTCTTAGTGTTAGTGCTAGTGTTAGGGCTAGTATTAGTGTTAGGGCTAGTGTTAGTGCTAGTGTTAGGGCTAGTTCTAGTGTTAGTGCTAGTGTTAGGGCTAGTGCTAGTGTTAGTCCTAGTGTTAGTGCTAGTGTTAAGGCTAGTATTAGTGTTAGGGCTATTGTTAGTGCTAGTTTTAGTGCTAGTGGTAGTGCTAGTGTTAGTGCTAGTGTTAAGGCTAGTATTAGTGTTAGTGCTAGTGTTAGTGCTAGTGTTATGGCTAGTGCTAGTGTTATTGCTAGTGTTAGTGCTAGTATTAGGGCTAGTGCTAGTGTTATTGCTAGTGTTAGTGCTAGTGATAGTGCTAGTGTTAGTGCTAGTGTTAAGGCTAGTGCTAGTGTTAGTGCTAGTGTTCGGGCTAGTGCTAGTGTTATTGCTAGTGTTAGTGCTAGTATTAGGGCTAGTGCTAGTGTTATTGCTAGTGTTAGTGCTAGTGATAGTGCTAGTGTTAGTGCTAGTGTTAGGGCTAGTGTTAGTGCTAGTGTTAGTACTAGTGTTAGTGCTAGGGCTGGTGCTAGTGTTAATGCTAGTGTCAGTGCTAGTGTTAGTGCTAGTGTTAATGCTAGTGTTAGGGCTGGTGCTAGTGGTAGTGCTAGTGTTAGTGCTAGTGTTAGTGCTAGTGTTAGTGCTAGTGTTAGTGCTAGTGTTGTGTACACGTGGTGAGTGTGCGTGCTGTGCAGCGCGAGTTCGATTCTCCTTCACGGCGACCACCCTCACCACCACCCTCACCACCACCCTCACCATCCTTACCAGCACCCTCACCACCACCCTCACCACCACCCTCACCACCACCCTCACTACCCTCACCACCACCCTCACCACCACCACCCTCACCACCCTCACCACCACCCTCACCACCACCTTCACACCACCCTCACCACCACCCTCACCACCACCCTCACCACCACCACCCTCACCACCACTCTCACCACCACCACCACCCTCACCACCACCACCACCCTCACCACCCTCACCACCACCACGTGATAATTATTTTATAACGAGCACCTGGAGTGGCGCGTGAACATCACCCCCTGGGGGAGACAAAGGCGGCCGGGCATGATGATCGCCGCCCACGCCCTCTTGTTGGCTTTCATAGAACCTCACGAACATCGATTTCCCCAGGCAGGCAGTTTGGCGGAGCACACGCGTGTGGTGGAGCGTGCGCGCGTGGTGGTGGTGTTTGTACACGTGGTGGTGTTTGTACACGAGTGTGTACACATGATGGAGTGTGTAGTAAATGTGCATGGCCCGAGGGAGGCAGCGTGAATCATAACGAGGGGCGAGAAGAGAGAGACGGAGGGGATGGAGGGGGAGAGAGTGGGAGGGGGTGCGGGTAGAAGGGAGATGGGAGAGGGGGGAGAGCGAAAGGAGAGAGAGAGGGAGATGGAGGGAGAGAGCGAGATCGGAGGGTGATGGGGGCGAGAGAGACACGCAGAGGGGAGATGGATGGAGAGGGGTGAGAGATTGAGGCAAGAGGGAGATGGTGAGAGAGTGAGAGAGAAAGAAATAATAATGTTACAAATATTACATAGAAAACATAGGGGAACATAGACATGGAGTAGGAAGAGAGGGGGTAGAGAGAGAGCGGGGGGGGGGGGGCGTAGAGAGAGGTGGTAGAGAGAGAGAGGGGGGGGTAGAGAGAGAGGGAAGGAGTAAGGAGAGCAGAACGTGAAATATTTTGTCAAAATTTTTCATTTAAAAAGGGGGGGGGGAGTTTACATAAAGCAAAGCGTTAAGAAAAACCGAAATGATGAACGAAGCAAAGTGCCGACTACACCGAGCATCTTCCTGCTTCCTCTGATCGTAAAAAAAAGAGAGAGCAAGTGGTAGGAGGCAGACGTGGGAGTGGAGTAAGAGAGGTAGGAGGGGAGTGCGAGGAACAGAGAGGGGGGAAGAAGGGAGAGATGAGATGGAGGAAGAGAGGGGAGCTCGAGAGGGGGAGAGGGAGGGATATGGGAGAGAAGGGAGAGCTAAGAGAGGGGGAGACAGGGGCGATGGAGGGAGACAGGGGAGGGAGGGCAGATCAGGTTGCCCTGCAAACCCATCCTGCATCTCCCACCACCCTCTGATGAATGTCTCAGTGAATGAATGGATGAGTGAATGAATGGATGAGTGAATGAGTGAATGGATGGATGAGTGAACTGACAATGCAATGAGGGAATGGATGCATTCATACTTTGGTGGGGTGAATGACTAGACGGACGATACTGAATGCACGCCTGAACGAGTGACGATCGAATGAATGAAGAGCGAATGAATGAAGAGGCTCTCTCATTACGCACCGCGCGTGCACTCTGTGCGAGTGGGAGGCGGGGTGGCCTTGTGGGAGCTACAGTCTCCCTATTTACGTCGTCTCTGAGTGTTATTTATAATTTATATAGGGGGAAGAGAGGGTGGGTGGGTTGGCTGGGACTGAGTGGTGGGGAGGGATGAAGCTTTGCAACAACGTAGATGACAAGAAACGAAAGACGCGGATTTTCATCCCAGAATACCGAAATCCAGGGCCCTAAAACAAAAAAAAATACATCAATATTAATACACATAAATGTTTAACTTGCACAGTAAAGCAATTGTATTTTTTCATTTGCTATACAGCCAGATAATACGACAAATCGCTAACCTTAAATACCCGGTCGTTCATACAAGTTGAAGGCGGTATAGTACTATAGTAATAGAGCAAGTGCAGAATCACTGAGCCGGAATTGATAGCTCGCAAGCATTTAGCGTGGGCCCTTGAAAGTGCGGGTCCTGTAGCTACTACTACTACATATGTAGAACCTACATATGTAGTAGTAGTTACTATGTAGTAGTAGCTGCTACATATGTAGCTACTACTACTACATATATAGAACCTACATTTGTAGTAGCTACTATGTAGTAGTAGCTGCTACATATGTAGCAGCTACTACTACATATGTAGAACCTACATATGTAGTAGTAGCTACTATGTAGTAGTAGCTGCTACATATGTAGCAGCTACTACTACATATGTGAACCTACATATGTAGTAGTAGCTACTATGTAGTAGTAGCTACTGCTACATATGTAGCAGCTACTACGACATATGTAGGAGCTACATATGTAGTAGTAGCTACTATGTAGTAGTAGCTACTGCTACATATGTAGCAGCTACTACTGCATATGTAGAACCTACATATGTAGTAGTTACTATGTAGTAGTAGCTGCTACATATGTAGCAGCTACTACGACATATGTAGGAGATACTTTTGCTACTCCGATCATCCGGCACTGACCAACTCCTGCCCGCCCGGTTGCGGAGGGGGTGGCGATGCGGCGAGCATCCCCCAAGGAGACCCTCGTCGAGATGCTCTTTCAACGTGGCGTCTTGGCCGACACGTGCCCCTTGCAGCCGCCACGAAAGCCCGCAACATTATAAGCCCCGACGGGCTCTGCCTGGCTCCTCGCAGTCACCTGAACCCCTAAACCCAGGGGGGAGGGGGGGGGGGGTCCCGGGCGTTTGTTGCGTCTTCGTGACTCCCGTGCTGGAATATCCGTGAAGAAAAGAGCTTTACAGCTCAGAGGATTTCTCCTGCTGTATAAATAACTGTTGTGATTTTGGGGTTGTTTTATTGAGGAGCAACGTCTCGTGTCTCCTACGTGCATCGCGGCGCTGGAGATTTTGTTTACTAAATTGACCGAAATGAAATTAGCTGTATTTGTCACTTCGGTTGCCAAACCCTCTGGCCCTTAACCCCCTACACCACTCACATTGACCCAACCACCTCCACCACCACCATCACCCCGTGTCCTCCTCTACCACTGTCTCCCAACACTGATACCACCACCACCACCACCCCGTGTCCTCCTCTACCGCTGTCTCCCAACACCACCACCACCACCACTCCGTGTCCTCCTCTACCACTGTCTCCCAACACTGACACCACCACCATCATCACCCCGTGTCCTCCTCTACCACTGTCTCCCAACTTCCACCACCACCACCACCACCCCGTGTCCTCCTATACCACTGTCTCCCAACCTCCACCACCACCATCACCCCGTGTCCTCCTCTACCACTGTCTCCCAACTTCCACCACCACCACCATCATCACCCCGTGTCCTCCTCTACCACTGTCTCCCAACTTCCACCACCACCACCCCGTGTCCTCCTATACCACTGTCTCCCAACCTCCACCACCACCATCATCACCCCGTGTCCTCCTCTACCACTGTCTCCCAACACTGACACCATCACTCCGTGTGCTCCCGGCTCCCCGTGCAGGTGCACAACGACATGACGAGCGAGCTGGAGCGCGCCGGGGTGCTCCTTCGGGACGCGCAGAGCTTCTCCTACGACCCCTGCGCCAACGTGCGCAAGCTCAAGGTGTCACCCACACGCTAACCCCACCACACCCAAGGTGTCACCCACACGCTAACCACACCACACTCAAGGTGTCACCCACACGCTAACCACACCACACTCAAGGTGTCACCCACACGCTAACCCCACCGCAGTCAAGGTGTCACCCACACGCTAACCCCACCGTACTCAAGGTGTCACCCACACGCTAACCCCACCACACCCAAGGTGTCACCCACACGCTAACCCCACCGCAGTCAAGGTGTCACCCACACGCTAACCCCACCACACTCAAGGTGTCACCCACACGCTAACCCCACCACATCCAAGGTGTCACCCACACGCTAACCCCACCACACTCAAGGTGTCACCCACACGCTAACCCCACCACACTCAAGGTGTCACCCACACGCTAACCCCACCGTACTCAAGGTGTCACCCACACGCTAACCCCACCACACTCAAGGTGTCACCCACACGCTAACCCCACCACAGTCAAGGTGTCACTCACACGCTAACCCCACCACACTCAAGGTGTCACCCACACGCTAACCCCACCACACTCAAGGTGTCACCCACACGCTAACCCCACCACACTCAAGATGTCACCCACATGCTAACCACACCACACTCAAGGTGTCACCCACACGCTAACCCCACCACACTCAAGGTGTCACCCACACGCTAACCCCACCACAGTCAAGGTGTCACCCACACGCTGACCCCACCACACTCAAGGTGTCACCCACACGCTAACCCCACCACAGTCAAGGTGTCACCCACACGCTAACCCCACCGTACTCAAGGTGTCACCCACACGCTAACCCCACCACACCCAAGGTGTCACCCACACGCTAACCACACCACACTCAAGGTGTCACCCACACGCTAACCCCACCACAGTCAAGGTGTCACCCACACGCTAACCCCACCACACCCAAGTTGTCACCCACATGCTAACCCCACCACACCCAAGGTGTCACCCACACACTAACCCCACCACACTCAAGGTGTCACCCACACGCTAACCCCACCACACTCAAGGTGTCACCCACACGCTAACCCCACCGCAGTCAAGGTGTCACCCACACGCTAACCCCACCACACTCAAGGTGTCACCCACACGCTAACCCCACCACACTCAAGGTGTCACCCACACGCTAACCCACCGCAGTCAAGGTGTCACCCACACGCTAACCCCACCACACTCAAGGTGTCACCCACACGCTAACCCACCGCAGTCAAGGTGTCACCCACACGCTAACCCCACCACACTCAAGGTGTCACCCACACGCTAACCCCACCACACTCAAGGTGTCACCCACACGCTAACCCACCGCAGTCAAGGTGTCACCCACACGCTAACCCCACCACACTCAAGGTGTCACCCACACGCTAACCCACCGCAGTCAAGGTGTCACCCACACGCTAACCCCACCACACTCAAGGTGTCACTCACACGCTAACCCCACCACACTCAAGGTGTCACCCACACGCTAACCCCACCACACTCAAGGTGTCACCCACACGCTAACCCCACCACAGTCAAGTTGTCACCCACACACTAACCCCACCACACCCAAGGTTTCACCCACACGCTAACCCCACCACACTCAAGGTGTCACCCACACGCTAACCCCACCACACTCAAGGTGTCACCCACACGCTAACCACACCACACTCAAGTTGTCACCCACACACTAACCCCACCACACCCAAGGTTTCACCCACACGCTAACCCCACCACACTCAAGGTGTCACCCACACGCTAACCCCACCACACCCAAGGTGTCACCCACACGCTAACCCCACCACAGTCAAGGTGTCACCCACACGCTAACCCCACCACACCCAAGCTGTCACCCACACACTAACCCCACCACACTCAAGGTGTCACCCACACACTAACCCCACCACACTCAAGGTGTCACCCACACGCTAACCCCACCACAGTCAAGGTGTCACCCACACGCTAACCCCACCGCACGCGGACCGTGCCGTTCGGATCCGCTCTGCTGCACCGCCGCCTCGAGCCGCTGGGTCGATGGACAGGGGGAGGGGGTGCTAAGAGACGCCCCCCCCCCTATTGTTTCAACTGCCGCGCCGGGAGATAGAATTGAAGTGGCCACCTTTGGATGATTGCCATCCCTGTATCGTTACTACCACGACTCTACACCGCTGTGGCAGTGTTCCTCCCGTAGACCCCGGGTCTCTGTGTGAGTCTACGGGTCTCTGTGTGAGTCTACGGGTCTCTGTGTGAGTCTACGGGTCTCTGTGTGAGTCTACGGGTCTCTGTGTGAGTCTACGGGTCTCTGTGTGAGTCTATGTGTCTCTGTGTGAGCCTACGGGTCTCTGTGTGAATCTACGGGTCTCTGTGTGAGTCTATGTGTCTCTGTGTGAGTCTATGGGTCTCTGTGTGAGTCTACGGGTCTCTGTGTGAGTCTACGGGTCTCTGTGTGAGTCTACGGGTCTCTGTGTGAGTCTACGGGTCTCTGTGTGAGTCTACGGGTCTCTGTGTGAGTCTATGTGTCTCTGTGTGAGTCTATGTTTCTCTGTGTGAGTCTATGGGTCTCTGTGTGAGTCTACGGGTCTCTGTGTGAGTCTATGGGGGCTCTGTGTGAGTCTACGGGTCTCTGTGTGAGTCTATGGGTCTCTGTGTGAGTCTATGGGTCTCTGTGTGAGTCTACGGGTCTCTGTGTGAGTCTATGGGTCTCTGTGTGAGTCTACGGGTCTCTGTGTGAGTCTACGGGTCTCTGTGTGAGTCTATGTGTCTCTGTGTGAGTCTATTGGTCTCTGTGTGAGTCTACGGGTCTCTGTGTGAGTCTACGGGTCTCTGTGTGAGTCTACGGGTCTCTGTGTGAGTCTATGGGTCTCTGTGTGAGTCTACGGGTCTCTGAGTCTATGGGTCTCTGTGAGTCTATGGGTCTCTGTGTGAGTCTATGGGTCTCTGTGTGAGTCTACGGGGGGCTGTGTGAGTCTATGTGTCTCTGTGTGAGTCTACGGGTCTCTGTGTGAGTCTATGGGTGTCTCTGTGTGAGTCTGTGGGTCTCTGTGTGAGTCTACGGGTCTCTGTGTGAGTCTATGGGTCTCTGTGTGAGTCTACGGGTCTCTGTGTGAGTCTATGTGTCTCTGTGTGAGTCTACGGGTCTCTGTGTGAGTCTACGGGTCTCTGTGTGAGTCTACGTGTCTCTGTGTGAGTCTACGGGTCTCTGTGTGAGTCTACGGGTCTCTGTGTGAGTCTACGGGTCTCTGTGTGAGTCTACGGGTCTCTGTGTGGTGAGTCTACGGGTCTCTGTGTGAGTCTACGGGTCTCTGTGTGAGTCTACGGGTCTCTGTGAGTCTATGTGTCTCTGTGTGAGTCTACGGGTCTCTGTGTGAGTCTACGGGTCTCTGTGTGAGTCTACGGGTCTCTGTGAGTCTACGGGTCTCTGTGTGAGTCTACGGGTCTCTGTGTGAGTCTACGGGTCTCTGTGTGAGTCTACGGGTCTCTGTGTGAGTCTACGGGTCTCTGTGTGAGTCTATGTGTCTCTGTGTGAGTCTATGTGTCTCTGTGTGAGTCTATGGGTCTCTGTGTGAGTCTACGGGTCTCTGTGTGAGTCTATGGGGGCTCTGTGTGAGTCTACGGGTCTCTGTGTGAGTCTATGGGTCTCTGTGTGAGTCTATGGGTCTCTGTGTGAGTCTACGGGTCTCTGTGTGAGTCTATGGGTCTCTGTGTGAGTCTACGGGTCTCTGTGTGAGTCTACGGGTCTCTGTGTGAGTCTATGTGTCTCTGTGTGAGTCTATGGGCCTCTGTGTGAGTCTACGGGTCTCTGTGTGAGTCTACGGGTCTCTCTGTGAGTCTACGGGTCTCTGTGTGAGTCTATGGGTCTCTGTGTGAGTCTACGGGTCTCTGAGTCTATGGGTCTCTGTGAGTCTATGGGTCTCTGTGTGAGTCTATGGGTCTCTGTGTGAGTCTACGGGGGGCTGTGTGAGTCTATGTGTCTCTGTGTGAGTCTACGGGTCTCTGTGTGAGTCTATGGGTGTCTCTGTGTGAGTCTGTGGGTCTCTGTGTGAGTCTACGGGTCTCTGTGTGAGTCTATGGGTCTCTGTGTGAGTCTACGGGTCTCTGTGTGAGTCTATGTGTCTCTGTGTGAGTCTACGGGTCTCTGTGTGAGTCTACGGGTCTCTGTGTGAGTCTACGTGTCTCTGTGTGAGTCTACGGGTTTCTGTGTGAGTCTACGGGTCTCTGTGTGAGTCTACGGGTCTCTGTGTGAGTCTACGGGTCTCTGTGTGGTGAGTCTACGGGTCTCTGTGTGAGTCTACGGGTCTCTGTGTGAGTCTACGGGTCTCTGTGAGTCTATGTGTCTCTGTGTGAGTCTACGGGTCTCTGTGTGAGTCTACGGGTCTCTGTGTGAGTCTACGGGTCTCTGTGAGTCTACGGGTCTCTGTGTGAGTCTACGGGTCTCTGTGTGAGTCTACGGGTCTCTGTGTGAGTCTACGGGTCTCTGTGTGAGTCTACGGGTCTCTGTGTGAGTCTATGTGTCTCTGTGTGAGTCTATGTGTCTCTGTGTGAGTCTATGGGTCTCTGTGTGAGTCTACGGGTCTCTGTGTGAGTCTATGGGGGCTCTGTGTGAGTCTACGGGTCTCTGTGTGAGTCTATGGGTCTCTGTGTGAGTCTATGGGTCTCTGTGTGAGTCTACGGGTCTCTGTATGAGTCTATGGGTCTCTGTGTGAGTCTACGGGTCTCTGTGTGAGTCTACGGGTCTCTGTGTGAGTCTATGTGTCTCTGTGTGAGTCTATGGGCCTCTGTGTGAGTCTACGGGTCTCTGTGTGAGTCTACGGGTCTCTCTGTGAGTCTACGGGTCTCTGTGTGAGTCTATGGGTCTCTGTGTGAGTCTACGGGTCTCTGAGTCTATGGGTCTCTGTGAGTCTATGGGTCTCTGTGTGAGTCTATGGGTCTCTGTGTGAGTCTACGGGTCTCTGTGTGAGTTTATGTGTCTCTGTGTGAGTCTACGGGTCTCTGTGTGAGTCTATGGGTGTCTCTGTGTGAGTCTGTGGGTCTCTGTGTGAGTCTACGGGTCTCTGTGTGAGTCTATGGGTCTCTGTGTGAGTCTACGGGTCTCTGTGTGAGTCTATGTGTCTCTGTGTGAGTCTACGGGTCTCTGTGTGATTCTACAGGTCTCTGTGTGAGTCTACGTGTCTCTGTGTGAGTCTACGGGTCTCTGTGTGAGTCTACGGGTCTCTGTGAGTCTATGGGTCTCTGTGTGAGTCTACGGGTCTCTGTGAGTCTATGGGTCTCTGTGTGAGTCTATGGGTCTCTGTGTGAGTCTATGGGTCTCTGTGAGTCTACGGGTCTCTGTGTGAGTCTACGGGTCTCTGTGTGAGTCTACGGGTCTCTGTGAGTCTATGGGTCTCTGTGTGAGTCTATGTGTCTCTGTGTGAGTCTATGTGTCTCTGTGTGAGTCTACGGGTCTCTGTGTGAGTCTACGGGTCTCTGTGTGAGTCTACGGGTCTCTGTGAGTCTACGGGTCTCTGTGTGAGTCTATGGGTCTCTGTGTGTCTATGGGTCTCTGTGTGAGTCTACAGTCTCTGTGTGAGTCTACGGGTCTCTATGTGAGTCTACGTGTCTCTGTGTGAGTCTATGGGTCTCTCTGTGAGTCTATGGGCCTCTGTGTGAGTCTATGTGTCTCTATGTGAGTCTACGGGTCTCTGTGTGAGTCTACGGGTCTCTGTGTGAGTCTACGGGTCTCTGTGAGTCTACGGGTCTCTGTGTGAGTCTACGGGTCTCTGTGTGAGTCTACGGGTCTCTGTGTGAGTCTACGGGTCTCTGTGTGAGTCTACGGGTCTCTGTGTGAGTCTATGTGTCTCTGTGTGAGTCTATGTGTCTCTGTGTGAGTCTATGGGTCTCTGTGAGTCTACGGGTCTCTGTGTGAGTCTATGGGGGCTCTGTGTGAGTCTACGGGTCTCTGTGTGAGTCTATGGGTCTCTGTGTGAGTCTATGGGTCTCTGTGTGAGTCTACGGGTCTCTGTGTGAGTCTATGGGTCTCTGTGTGAGTCTACGGGTCTCTGTGTGAGTCTACGGGTCTCTGTGTGAGTCTATGTGTCTCTGTGTGAGTCTATGGGCCTCTGTGTGAGTCTACGGGTCTCTGTGTGAGTCTACGGGTCTCTCTGTGAGTCTACGGGTCTCTGTGTGAGTCTATGGGTCTCTGTGTGAGTCTACGGGTCTCTGAGTCTATGGGTCTCTGTGAGTCTATGGGTCTCTGTGTGAGTCTATGGGTCTCTGTGTGAGTCTACGGGTCTCTGTGTGAGTTTATGTGTCTCTGTGTGAGTCTACGGGTCTCTGTGTGAGTCTATGGGTGTCTCTGTGTGAGTCTGTGGGTCTCTGTGTGAGTCTACGGGTCTCTGTGTGAGTCTATGGGCCTCTGTGTGAGTCTACGGGTCTCTGTGTGAGTCTATGTGTCTCTGTGTGAGTCTACGGGTCTCTGTGTGATTCTACGGGTCTCTGTGTGAGTCTACGTGTCTCTGTGTGAGTCTACGGGTCTCTGTGTGAGTCTACGGGTCTCTGTGAGTCTATGGGTCTCTGTGTGAGTCTACGGGTCTCTGTGAGTCTATGGGTCTCTGTGTGAGTCTATGGGTCTCTGTGTGAGTCTATGGGTCTCTGTGAGTCTACGGGTCTCTGTGTGAGTCTACGGGTCTCTGTGTGAGTCTACGGGTCTCTGTGAGTCTATGGGTCTCTGTGTGAGTCTATGTGTCTCTGTGTGAGTCTATGTGTCTCTGTGTGAGTCTACGGGTCTCTGTGTGAGTCTACGGGTCTCTGTGTGAGTCTACGGGTCTCTGTGAGTCTACGGGTCTCTGTGTGAGTCTATGGGTCTCTGTGTGTCTATGGGTCTCTGTGTGAGTCTACAGTCTCTGTGTGAGTCTACGGGTCTCTATGTGAGTCTACGTGTCTCTGTGTGAGTCTATGGGTCTCTCTGTGAGTCTATGGGCCTCTGTGTGAGTCTACGGGTCTCTCTGAGTCTATGGGTCTCTGTGTGAGTCTATGGGTCTCTGTGAGTCTACGGGTCTCTATGTGAGTCTACGGGTCTCTATGTGAGTCTACGGGTCTCTATGTGAGTCTATGGGTCTCTCTGAGTCTATGTGTCTCTGTGTGAGTCTACGGGTCTCTGTGTGAGTCTACGGGTCTCTGTGTGAGTCTACGGGTCTCTGTGAGTCTATGGGTCTCTGTGAGTCTATGGGTCTCTGTGTAAGTCTATGGGTCTCTGTGAGTCTATGGGTCTCTGTGTGAGTCTATGTGTCTCTGTGTGAGTCTACGGGTCTCTCTGAGTCTATGGGTCTCTGTGTGAGTCTATGGGTCTCTATGTAAGTCTATGTGTCTCTGTGTGAGTCTATGGGTCTCTCTGAGTCTATGGGTCTCTGTGTGAGTCTATGGGTCTCTATGTAAGTCTATGAGTCTCTGTGTGAGTCTATGAGTCTCTGTGTGAGTCTATGCGTCTCTATGTGAGTCTACGGGTCTCTATGTGAGTCTGTGGTGTTGCTTACTACCCCCACCTCCGCGTCTCTCCTGCTGCACACGTTTGACAAAACCAGTTCCAAAACACGATATTGACTTATTTCAAACGGTTACCAGTTATGCAGCAGCAGCACCAACAAACAGCACCACAATCTATGATCCGAGCCGCTCGCCTCTCCCGGCGTGCCCGCGTCCCACGCATCGCGCAAACGTCCTCACCTCGTACCCTGCGTACCTCCCCCCTGCCCCCCCCCATCTCTGCTGCCCCCACCCCCCTGAACCTCTGCCACCCCCCCCCAATCTCTGCCGCCCCCCACCACCCCACCCCCCACCAGGACGCCGACGTGCGAATCATCCTGGGTCAGTTTGACGAGGAGATGGCTGCCAAGGTTTTCTGCTGCGTACGTTGCGTGCACGATGCACACGTGACTCTGCGGGGGGGGCGGGGGGGGTGGGGTTGCCGTGGTGGCTCAGAGATGTTGCCTCCTCGTCTGCTATGCACGAGGTCATGACCCGGGATTATTTGGGAGGTTTTTTTTGCGCGCGTTGCTCCCCCGATCACCGCCGTTGGCGACGTACGGTGCCGAGGGAGTCCAATGTACATGGGCGTGTAGATTAGTCTCATTGTCTAGGGGGGGGTCTCTGTGTGAGTTTATGGGTCTCTGTGTGAGTCTATGGGTCTCTGTGTGGGTCTATGGGTCTCTGTGTGCGTCTATGGGTCTCTGTGTGGGTCTATGGGTCTCTGTGTGGGTCTATGGGTCTCTGTGCCAGTCTATGGGTCTCTGTGTGAGTCTATGGGTCTCTGTGTGGGTCTATGGGTCTCTGTGTGGGTCTATGGGTCTCTGTGTGGGTCTATGGGTCTCTGTGCCAGTCTATGGGTCTCTGTGCCAGTCTATGGGTCTTTGTGTGGGTCTATGGGTCTCTGTGTGAGTCTATGGGTCTCTGTGTGGGTCTATGGGTCTCTGTGTGGGTCTATGGGTCTCTGTGCCAGTCTATGGGTCTCTGTGCCAGTCTATGGGTCTCTGTGTGGGTCTATGGGTCTCTGTGTGAGTCTATGGGTCTCTGTGTGAGCCTATGGGTCTCTGTGTGGGTCTATGGGTCTCTGTGTGAGGGGGTGGTGTATCTGTGTTTATCTCAGTGGGTGTCAGAGTGTGTCTCGTTGTGTATCTGTGCGTGTCTCATTGTGTTTGTGAGTGGCTCGTTGTGTATCTGAGTGTGTCTTCGTGTATCTGAGTGTGTCTCATTGTGTATCTGAGTGTGTCTCGCTGTGTATGTGTGTGTGTCTAGCTGTGTTTCTGAATGTTTCATTGTGTATCTGTGTATCTCAATGTGTATCTGTGTACATCTGATTGTGTATCTGAGTGTGTCTCATTGTGTATCTGAGTGTGTCTCGCTGTGTATGTGTGTGTGTCTAGCTGTGTTTCTGAATGTTTCATTGTGTATCTGTGTGTCTCATTGTGTATCTGAGTGTCTCATTGTGTATCTGTGTATCTCATTGTGTATCTGTGTACATCTCATTGTGTATCTGAGTGTGTCTAAATGCGTTTCTGTGTCTGTGCGTCTCATTGCGCATCTGTACACAACGATCAAGTCACACAGCGGTCAGCGCACTCCACCGTGAACCCAGTGACCCGAGTTCGCCTCCCGCTCACGGCCAATAGCAGTGACAGCAAATATTCGAACCGGTTCTGGACCTTCCCCCTAGGTCGACTCAGCCAGAAACGAGCCCACGGCGCGGGTGTGCAACCGGGCGTGGTGCTGGCCGTGCCAGACCCTCGTGGGTGCTCGCCAAGCAGCACTTGCCCCAGCGGTCTGTCAGAGGCTACACGGTGGGGCGGGGGTGGGACCTTTGTCTCTGTGTCTTCGGCAGGCCCACCGCGAGGCCATGTTTGGCAGCAAGTACCAGTGGGTGGTGCCGGGCTGGTACCGCGAGCGCTGGTGGGCGCACGCCGGGGGCCTCCCCGCTTCACCCGGTGGGGGGAAACCCGAGGGCCGCGGGGGTCCCGGGGATCCCGGGGAGCCGAGGGCCTCCCGCGGGGGCCGCACGGGGGGCCCTTGCAGCGAGGCCCAGATGATGAGCGCGATGGAGGGCTACGTGGCCGTGGACTTCGTGCCACTGGCGACCAAACCCATCCAGACCATCTCCGGGCAGGTGCGTGCGTGTGTGTGTACAGGTGTGTGTGTGTGTACAGATGTGTGTGTGTACAGGTGTGTGTGTACAGGTGTGTGTGTGTACAGGTGTGTGTGTGTGTGTGTACAGGTGTGTGTGTGTGTGTGTACAGGTGTGTGTGTGTGTGTACAGGTGTGTGTGTGTACAGGTGTGTGTGTGTGTGTACAGGTGTGTGTGTGTACAGATGTGTGTGTACAGGTATGTGTGTGTGTGTGTGTGTACAGGTGTGTGTGTGTGTGTACAGGTATGTGTGTGTGTGTGTACAGGTGTGTGTGTGTGTACAGGTATGTGTGTGAGTACAGGTGCGTGTGTGTACAGGTGTGTGTGTGTACAGGTGTGTGTGTGTACAGGTGTGTGTGTGTGTGGGGAGCGATAGTGTAGCGGTTAGCGCGCTGCGCTATGAACCTGGCGACCCGGGTTCGATTCCCGCTCACGGCCAACACCAGTGACGATTATCTGAACCGGTCCCGGGCCTCCCCTAGGTCGACTCAGCCTCAAATGAGTACCTGGTGCGGTGTGTAAACATTGCTACTAGGGAGACAAAGGCGGTCGGGCGTGGTGCTGGCCACCCACCCCCTCGTGTACCGTTCCGGCCTTCATAGGTGCTCGCTAACAGCACTTGCCCCTACAGTCTGTTAAGGCTATATGGGGGATCTTTGTTGTCTTTGTTGTGTGTGTGTGTACAGGTGTGTGTGTGTACAGGTGTGTGTGTGTGTGTGTGTACAGGTGTGTGTGTGTACAGGTGTGTGTGTGTACAGGTGTGTGTGTGTACAGGTGTGTGTGTGTACAGGTGTGTGTGTACAGGTGTGTGTGTGTACAGGTGTGTGTGTACAGGTATGTGTGCGTGTGTACAGGTGTGTGTGTGTGTGTACAGGTGTGTGTGTGTACAGGTGTGTGTGTGTGTACAGGTGTGTGTGTGTACAGGTGTGTGTGTGTGTACAGGTGTGCGTGTGTGTACAGGTGTGTGTGTGTGTGTGTACAGGTGTGTGTGTGTACAGGTGTGTGTGTGTGTACAGGTGTGTGTGTGTACAGGTGTGTGTGTGTACAGGTGTGTGTGTGTGTACAGGTGTGCGTGTGTGTACAGGTGTGTGTGTACAGGTGTGTGTGTGTACAGGTGCGTGCGTGTGTGTACAGGTGTGTGTGTGTACAGGTGTGTGTGTGTGTACAGGTGTGTGTGTGTACAGGTGTGTGTGTACAGGTGTGTGTGTGTGTGTACAGGTGTGTGTGTGTGTACAGGTGTGTGTGTGTGTACAGGTGTGTGTGTGTACAGGTGTGTGTGTGTGTACAGGTGTTTGTGTGTGTGTGTACAGGTGTGTGTGTGTGTGTACAGGTGTGCGTGTGTGTACAGGTGTCTGTGTGTACAGGTGTGTGTGTGTACAGGTGTGTGTGTGTACAGGTGTGTGTGTGTGTGTGTGTGTACAGGTGTGTATGTGTGTGTACAGGTATGTGTGTGTGTGTACAGGTGTGTGTGTGTGTACAGGTGTGTGTGTACAGGTATGTGTGTACAGGTGTGTGTGTGTGTACAGGTATGTGTGTGTGTACAGGTGTGTGTGTGTACAGGTGTGTGTGTGTGTACAGGTATGTGTGTGTGTACAGGTGTGTGTGTACAGGTGTGTGTGTGTGTACAGGTGTGTGTGTGTACTGGTGTGTGTGTGTGTACAGGTGTGTGTGTGTGTACAGGTGTGTGTGTGTGTGTACAGGTGTGTGTATGTGTACAGGTGTGTGTGTGTGTACAGGTGTGTGTGTGTACAGGTTGTGTGTGTGTGTGTGTACAGGTGTGTGTGTGTACAGGTGTGTGTGTGTACAGGTGTGTGTGTGTACAGGTATGTGTGTGTGTGTACAGGTGTGTGTGTGTGTGTGTACAGGTGTGTGTGTGTACAGGTGTGTGTGTGTGTGTACAGGTGTGTGTGTGTGTACAGGTGTGTGTGTGTACAGGTGTGTGTGTGTGTACAGGTGTGTGTGTGTACAGGTGTGTGTGTGTACAGGTGTGTGTGTGTGTACAGGTGCGTGTGTGTACAGGTGTGTGTGCGTGTGTACAGGTATGTGTGTGTGTGTGCGTGGAGAAGTTGGAGACGCTGCTGCTGAGACTGGAGCGTACCACTAAGAGATCGGGCCTTACCATCAGCCCCACCAAAACTAAGCACCGCCTGGGTATTTTGTACCATCGGACACTCCACCCCCACAACTCCCAATCGGTGATGGGGTAGTTGTGGAGAGAGTGGAGAGTTTTCCATACCTGGGCAGTGTGCTCATGACCGGCTCCGGTTTAACAGCAGAGGTCTCACTCCGAATCAGTCGAGCGGCATTATCTTTTCATCGGTTGCGTAACGCTGTGTGGAAGCTACCTGGTCTGTCGCTCCGCACTTAGCTTCAGGTCTTCTCGGCCATGGTCATTCCCTCCCTTCTCTAGGCTTGTGAAACGTGGACCCCCTTAATTGAACATCTTTGCCGGTTAGAAACATTTAGGCTGGCGTACCTAAGATCCATCCTGGGTTTGACCAGACTGGATTGTGTGAGGAGCTCCCAAATCCTTGAAAGATCTGGACAAAGTCCCATTGGTGAGCTCCTCCGGCAGGCAAGGCTGCGTTGGCTGGGCCATGTAGCCCGCATGCCCAGCCACCGCATGCCGAAACAGCTTTTGTTCGGCCGGATCGAGGGGGCTAAAAGGGCGCGGCACGGGCTAGAGAAGAGATGGAGTGATGTGGTACAGGAGGACGTGGAGCTGAGTGGACTCGTCGACCTCTGGCATCTGGGTCTGCCCCGTGACCTCCTGCCAGCGAGCTTTCGACACTTCACGTGGCCTGAAGGTGCACATAGCCTGGCACAAGCGTCGTGGTAACGTAACCGCCACTTAGTGGCGAATGGCGGCTGTTGTTGTTCTGTGCGTACAGGTGTGTGGGGAGCAGAAGTGTAGCGGTTAGCCCTTTGTGCTAAGAACCTGGCGACCCGGGTTCGATTCCGGCTCACGGCCAACACCGGTGACGATTATCTGAACCGGTCCTGGGCCTCTCCTAGGTCGACTCAGCCTCAAATGAGTACCTGGCGTGGTGTGTGAACATCGCCACTGGGGAGCAGCCCTCATAGGTGCTGCTCGCTAACAGCACTTGCCCCAACAGTCTATTAGAGGCTACACGGGGGATCTTTGTCTTTGTGTGGCCAATGTACTCACGCATGACCGCCCTCTCTGCGCGCCCCACCATGGCCCCCCCCCCCCCCCCCCCCCCCCCCCCCCCCGCCCCCACCACCAGACCCCCCAGCAGTACTTCAAGGCCTACGAGGACCACAGGCGGATGCTGGGGGAGCCCTACAGCAAGTTCCACGGCTACGCGTACGACGGCGTGTGGGTTATCGCACGTGCCATGCAGAAGGCCCTGGGGGCCCCCGCGCAGCGCAGGTGACTCGCACTAAGGCACAAGTCCCCCGGGTAGCCCCTCACGGACTGTCCGGGCGGGGAGAGGGGGGGGGGTGGGAGCAAGTGGCGCGTGTGACCGTCCGGTACGGCCGGGGTACAAGAACAAACCCGGCCGCCTTTGTCTCTCCCAGTGAACTGACGTTTACACGCCTGCGCCAAGTGCTCATTTGAGTATGGAATCGACCTTCGGGTGACTCGCGGCTGGTCCAGATCGTCGTTAATCTTTGTTGGTGGCCGTGAGCGGGAATCGAACTCGGGTCGCCGGGTCGACGGGCGGACGGACTCGCGAGCAGAGGTTCTCACGGAGCCTTGATGCCATTCTCCCCCAGGCAGGGACGAGGTCACCAGCAACAACCGTCCGGCCGCAACAACAACAACAACAACCATAACCCGAACCGCAACCACAGCGAGCTGAAGTTCGGGCAAAAGCTGCTGAACGCCATGAACGAAACGAGCTTCTACGGCGTAACGGTGAGCGCCCTCGCACATAGAGAAGGCAGCAGCACGCGTCTCCCCTCCCCCTTCCCCGCTTCCCCCCGCCCCAGGTCTCCCCTCCCCCCTCCCCGCTTCCCCCCTCCCCTCTTCCCCCCTCCCCGCTTCCCCCCTCCCTGGGTCTCCCCACCCCCCTCCCCCCTCCCCGCGTCTCCCCTCCCCACTTCTCCCCTACCCGTGTCCCCCCTCCCCGCTTCCCCCCTCCCTGGGTCCCCCCTCCCCGCTTCCCCCCTCCCCGTTTCCCCCCTCCCCGCGTCTCCCCTCCCTGGGTCTCCCCACCCCCCTCCCCCGCACCTCCCTAATGCAGCTCTTCTCATGAATGTTGCACGAATGAAAATACATCCAGGACGAGGGTTAGAGAGAGTAGAGAGCAGAGAGAGCAGAGAGAGTAGAGAGAGTGCAGAGAGTGGAGAGTGGAGAGAGTGCAGAGAGAGAGCAGAGAGAGAGTGCAGAGAGAGAGCAGAGAGAGCAGAGAGAGCAGAGAGAGAGTGCAGAGAGTGGAGAGTGGAGAGAGTGCAGAGAGAGAGCAGAGAGAGAGTGCAGAGAGAGAGCAGAGAGAGCAGAGAGAGTGGAGAGAGCAGAGAGAGAGCAGAGAGTGGAGAGAGCAGAGAGAGAGAGTGGAGAGAGCAGAGAGTGGAGAGTGGAGAGAGAGTGCAGAGAGAGAGTGGAGAGAGTGGAGAGAGCAGAGAGTGCAGAGAGTGCAGAGAGAGAGAGTGGAGAGAGTGGAGAGAGTGGAGAGTGCAGAGAGTGCAGAGAGAGAGAGAGTGGAGAGAGGATGCCAATAGGGGGAGAAAGAGAGTGGTGGACGGCGGGAGAGCGCTCTCCTTAACCAGCTTGCTCCACTGCCTTGAACAGGTCACACACAGCCCTGACTCTCATTGTCTACTGCACACCACGATCTCTGTGTGATCCACCAACCCCCCCCCCCGCCCCCTCCCCCTCCACACCCACCAGGGCCAGGTCGTGTTCCGCAACGGGGAGCGTTTGGGTACCATAGAGTTCACGCAGTTCCAAGGTGAGTCGTCGATGTGACATCCATCCCAAACATTCGAAAATCGCACCGCCAATGTATGTATGTTGTATGTATGTTGTATGTATGTTGTATGTATGTTGTATGCATGCATGCTGTATGTATGCTGAACTTCTTTCGCACTGTACGTAGCCAACCGTGCTGATTGGAAGTGCACGGGGGGAAGGACCACAAACTGAAGGCGACAGAAAGCAGTTCTAAAGAAGCGAGTTTGTCGGTGTACACGATGAGTTGACGGTGCAGAGCTCCCAGCGGCTTCCTAATATCGGAAGGGAAGAGCGTTCCAGACGGCCGCAGAAGCGCATCCGAAAGCGCCGCGCGATGATGCTCGCAGCCAAAAATCCGCCGCTGCTGCCGCTGCCGCCGCTGCTGCTGCTGCTGCTGCGAGGATGACCGGAGTTCACGTGACGATGGATTATTCTTCCTTGACGATATCAGCAAGGCATCGTCGGGGTTCATTTGCGCCAAGCACTTTGCGCATGCAATGATCGTCGCCAGCTACTACCTGCATACGAACGCACAGGGACGGCTGCCAGGGTGGTGGGTGCCCTAGGCCGTGCCCCATAGCAATCATCGCCCCCTTACTGACTTCGCGTGCAGACCCCCAGGTCACCTTTTGCCACACAGGGACAGCTGCCACTGTGGAGGGGGTGGGGGGGAGGGGGTCACTTTTCAAATGTAAGACGCAAGTCTCTCTGAAGCGGCCCTCTCTCGCTCTCTTTCTCTCCCACACGCACGCGACTCGTGATCACTGTTGTTCAGAAAGGTCGCTGTCTCATCGAGATGGTGGTGGTGGTGGTGATGATGGTGATGATGCTTGTGAAGTTAATGGTGGTGATGGTGGTGATGGCGATAGTGATGATGCTAATGATGATGATGATGTTGATGATGATGTGCATAGAGGGCAAGGAGGTGAATTCGGCGATGTGTGATGCTGATGATGACGATGGTGATGCTGGTCGAGGTGACGATGGTGGTGATGATGATGGCGATGCTGATGTTGGTGACGATGGTGGTTTTGATGACGATGGTGACGATGGTGGTGTTGGTGACGATAGTGATGATGATTGTGACGATGGCGGTGATGACGATGGCGATGCTGATGTTGGTGACGATGGTGATTTTGATGACGATGGTGACGATGGTGGTGTTGGTGACGATAGTGATGATGATGATGATGACGACGATGACGACGATGTATGTGCAGAGGGCCGCCACGTGAAGGTGGGCGAGTATTACGCGGTCGAGGATGTCCTGGACATCACCAACGACACGATGCGCTTCCAGGGTGAGCCAACTCGTCCCCACCCACGCAGAGATGGAGCGACGGAACCCGCGTTGGTTGCGTTGCGTTCCCGCTCTCTGGACTCCCAGGAGTCGCCGTGCGCGGTCCCCAGATTGAGCGGCTCGCGGTTGTCACGATTATTTTTTTTATTTCTCAACGAATTTCGCGGGGGGGGGGGGCGGCGAAACGTCGAAGAGTCTCTCGACTCTTCAGCGTCCTCCGTGAGCGGAGCAAACCGTGCGCCGTATCATCATCATTATTAACCAGGGCAGCCTGCCGAATTCGAACCGCGAACCTCGGCAACAGGCGAGCACGCGCACACACACTCACACACACGCACACACACACTCACTCACACACTCACACACACTCACACACGCACTCACACACACTCACACACTCACACACACTCACACACACACACTCACACACACTCACACACGCACTCACACACACTCACACACTCACACACACACTCACACACACTCACACACTCACACACACTCACACACACACACTCACACACTCACACACACACACTCACACACACACACTCACTCACACACTCACACACACTCACACACACTCACACACACACTCACTCACACTCACACACACTCACACACACTCACACACACACTCACTCACACACTCACACACACTCACACACACTCACACACACTCACACACACACTCACTCACACACTCACACACACTCACTCACACACTCACACACACTCACACACACTCACACACACACTCACTCACACACACTCACACACACACACTCACACACACTCACACACTCACTCACACACTCACACACACTCACACACACTCACACACTCACTCACACAGTCACACACTCACACACACTCACACACACACTCACACACACACGTGTACCACAGTGTTACTGTGCCCAGCTATTGCAGTGACGAGAGCTGGGGGGGGGTTCCTCAGGCATTGCCTCCTCCCCCCTGTGTGTGGGGGGGGGGAGAGAGGGGGGTCTAATCCCGGGCCCCACTCAATTCCAAGACTGCCGCCACCTCTTTGTGACCTTTCTAGATCCACATCTGCCCCCCCCCCCCACTAGGTAGCGGGCCCCCCGAGGACCGCACGATCGAGGTGGAGGAGCTGCGCAAGGTGTCGCTGCCGCTGTACGCGGTGCTGTCAACGCTCACGCTGCTCGGGATGATCCTGGCCACGATGTTCCTGTTCTTCAACATCAAGAACCGCAACCAGAAGTGAGCGCGGGGGGGGGTGGGGGGAGTGAGGGAGCGAGTGGGTAAGGAGGTGAGCGGGCGGGCTGGTGGGCGAGCGAGTCAGTGAGGGAGTGAGTGAGCGAGCGGGTAAGCGGGTGAGCGAGCGGGTGGGCGTGCAAGCGGGTGAGCGAGGGATGGGGCAAGCGGGTGAGCGAGGGGGCGAGCGGGCGAGCGAGGGGGCAAGGGAGGGGGCGAGCGGGTGAGCGAGGGGGCGAGCGGGTGAGCGAGGGGGGCGAGCGAGGGGGCGAGGGAGGGGGCGAGCGGGTGAGCGAGGGGGCGAGCGGGTGAGCAAGCGGGTGAGCGAGGGGGCGAGCGGGTGAGCGAGGGGGCGAGTGGGTGAGCGAGGGGGCGAGCGAGTGGGTAAGGAGGTGAGCGAGCGGGCGAGTGGGCGAGCGGGTGAGTGAGGGAGTGAGTGAGCAAGCGGGTAAGCGGGTGAGCGAGTGGGTGGGCGTGCGAGCGGGCGAGCGAGGGGGCGAGCGAGGGGGCGAGCGGGTGAGCGAGGGGGCGAGCGAAGGGGCGAGCGGGCGAGCGAGGGGGCGAGCGGGCGAGCGAGCGGGCGAGCGGGCAAAGGAACGAGCGGGCGGGCGACGGTGGTTCCGGGTCGATACTTCGCGCGGGGCCTCCCCCTCCGGGCGGCCGTTGTCGGCGCGGGCCGCTCGCGAGGTCGATGGCTCGGGAGGCCCCGGCTCCTCGCTAGCTCCGTTTGGCCCAATGAGCGCCGCCGCGTGCCCCCATCGATCGCCGCTCCTGGCCGCCGACCCGAATTGGCAATTATCTGCGAGTCCCGAGACCCTCCGTGCCCAGGGCAGTAAGTCCTGGGGTGATGTCGCGTGGTTCCGTGGGGGTGCCCGCTCCCCCACGCCTGCTCCCCGTGGGGGGTGGGGGGGGGCGGGGGGGCAATGTTTCATTGTGTACCTGTGTGTGTGTGTCACATTGTGTACCTGTGTGTGTGTCACATTGTGTACTTGTGTGTGTGTCACATTGTGTACCTGTGTGTGTGTCACATTGTGTACCTGTGTGTGTGTCACATTGTGTACCTGTGTGTGTGTCACATTGTGTACCTGTGTGTGTGTCACATTGTGTACCCGTGTGTGTCTTATTGTGTACCCGTGTGTGTGTCACATTGTGTACTTGTGTGTGTGTCACATTGTGTACCTGTGTGTCACATTGTGTACCCGTGTGTCTTATTGTGTACCCGTGTGTGTCACATTGTGTACCCGTGTGTGTCTTATTGTGTACCTGTGTGTGTCACATTGTGTACCCGTGTGTGTCACATTGTGTACCTGTGTGTGTCACATTGTGTTCCCGTGTGTGTCTTATTGTGTACCTGTGTGTGTCACATTGTGTACCCGTGTGTGTCACATTGTGTACCTGTGTGTGTCACATTGTGTTCCCGTGTGTGTCTTATTGTGTACCCGTGTGTGTCTTATTGTGTACCTGTGTGTCACATTGTGTTCCCGTGTGTGTCTTATTGTGTACCTGTGTGTCACATGGTGTTCCCGTGTGTGTCTTATTGTGTACCTGTGTGTGTCTTATTGTGTACCTGTGTGTGTCTTATTGTGTACCTGTGTGTGCCACATTGTGTACCTGTGTGTGTGTCACATTGTGTACCTGTGTGTGTCACATTGTGTACCTGTGTGTGTCACATTGTGTACCCGTGTGTGTCTTATTGTGTACCCATGTGTGTCTTAGTGTGTACCTGTGTGTGTCACATTGTGTTCCCGTGTGTGTCTTATTGTGTACCCGTGTGTGTCTTATTGTGTACCTGTGTGTCACATTGTGTACCCGTGTGTGTCTTATTGTGTACCCGTGTGTGTCTTATTGTGTACCTGTGTGTCACATTGTGTTCCCGTGTGTGTCTTATTGTGTACCTGTGTGTGTCTTATTGTTTACCTGTGTGTGTCTTATTGTGTACCTGTGTGTCGCATTGTGTACCTGTGTGTGTCTCACTGTGTACCTGTGTGTCACATTGTATACCTGTGTGTGTGTCTCATTGTGTACCTGTGTGTCTTATTGTGTACCTGTGTGTGTCGCATTGTGTACCTGTGTGTCACATTGTGTACCTGTGTGTCACATTGTGTACCTGTGTGTGTGTCACACTGTGTACCTGTGTGTGTGTGTCTCACTGTGTACCTGTGTGTCACATTGTATACCTGTGTGTGTGTCTCATTGTGTACCTGTGTGTCTTATTGTGTACCTGTGTGTGTCGCATTGTGTACCTGTGTGTCACTGTGTACCTGTGTGTCACATTGTGTACCTGTGTGTGTGTGTGTCACACTGTGTACCTGTGTGTGTGTGTCACATTGTGTACCTGTGTGTCACATTGTGTACCTGTGTGTGTCTTATTGTGTACCTGTGTGTCACATTGTGTACCCGTGTGTCTTATTGTGTACCCGTGTGTGTCTTATTGTGTACCTGTGTGTCACATTGTGTTCCCGTGTGTGTCTTATTGTGTACCTGTGTGTGTCTTATTGTGTACCTGTGTGTGTCTTATTGTGTACCTGTGTGTGTCGCATTGTGTACCTGTGTGTCACATTGTGTACCTGTGTGTCACATTGTGTACCTGTGTGTGTCACACTGTGTACCTGTGTGTGTGTCACATTGTGTACCTGTGTGTCACATTGTGTACCTGTGTGTCACATTGTGTACCTGTGTGTGTGTCACATTGTGTACCTGTGTGTGTTTATCACTGTGTACCTGTATGTCACATTTTGTACCTGTGTGTCACATTGTGTACCTGTGTGTCACATTGTGTACCTGTGTGTGTCGCATTGTGTACCTGTGTGTCACATTGTGTACCTGTGTGTGTGTCTCACTGTGTACCTGTGTGTCACATTGTGTACCTGTGTGTCTCACTGTGTACCTGTGTGTGTCTTATTGTGTACCTGTGTGTCTCATTGTGTACATGTGTGTGTGTCTCACTGTGTGCCTGTGTGTGTGTCACATTGTGTACCTGTGTGTGTCTCATTGTGTACCTGTGTGTCACATTGTGTACCTGTGTGTCACACTGTGTGCCTGTGTGTGTCACATTGTGTACCTGTGTGTCACATTGTGTACCTGTGTGTGTGTCTCACTGTGTACCTGTGTGTATCTCACTGTGTACCTGTGTGTGTGTCACATTGTGTGCCTGTGTGTGTCTCATTGTGTACCTGTGTGTCACATTGTGTACCCGTGTGTCACACTGTGTACCTGTGTGTGTCACATTGTGTACCTGTGTGTCACATTGTGTACCTGTGTGTCACATTGTGTACCTGTGTGTATCTCACTGTGTACCTGTGTGTGTGTCACATTGTGTACCTGTGTGTGTGTATCTCACTGTGTACCTGTGTGTGTGTGTCTCACTGTGTACCTGTGTGTGTGTGTGTCTCACAGTGTACCTGTGTGTGTGTCACATTGTGTAGCTGTGTGTGTGTCACATTGTGTAGCTGTGTGTGTCTCACTGTGTAGCTGTGTGTCACACTGTGTACCTGTGTGTGTCTTATTGTGTAGCTGTGTTTCATTCACGCATTCATTAATTTCCCTCCCGGCTGGCGCCGGGCCCATGAGACGGACTGAGTGCCACTCGTGCCGGAGTGCATCACCCCTCTCCCCCCACTACTACCCCTCTCCCCCCACTACTAACCCCTCCCCCCACTACTACCCCCCTCCCCCCACTACTACCCCTCTCCCCCCACTACTACCCCCTCCCCCCACTACTACCCCCCTCCCCCCACTACTACCCCCCTCCCCCCACTACTACCCCCTTCCCCCCACCACTACCCCCCACTACTACCCCCCTCCCTTCACTACTTCCCCCCACTACTACCCCCCTCCCCCCACTACTACCCCCTCCCCCCACTACTACCCCTCTCCCCTCACTACTACCCCCCACTACTACCCCCCTCCCCCCACTACTACCCCTCTCCCCTCACTACTACCCCCTCCCCCCACTACTACCCCTCTCCCCCCACTAATACCCCCCTCCCCCCACTACTACCCCCCTCCCCCCACTACTACCCCCCTCCCCTCACTACTACCCCTCTCCCCCCACTACTACCCCCCACTACTACCCCCCACTACTACCCCCCTCCCCCCACTACTACCCCTCTCCCCCCACTACTACCCCTCTCCCCCCACTACTACCCCCCTCCCCCCACTACTACCCCTCTCCCCCCACTACTACCCCTCTCCCCTCACTACTACCCCCTCCCCCCACTACTACCCCTCTCCCCCCACTAATACCCCCCTCCCCCCACTACTACCCCCCTCCCCCCACTACTACCCCCCTCCCCCCCCTACTACCCCTCTCCCCCCACTACTACCCCCCACTACTACCCCCCTCCCCCCACTACTACCCCCCTCCCCCCACTACTACCCCTCTCCCCCCACTACTAGCCCCCTCCCCCCACTACTACCCCTCTCCCCCCACTACTACCCCTCTCCCCCCACTACTACCCCCCTCCCCCCACTACTACCCCTCTCCCCCCACTACTACCCCCCACTACTACCCCCCTCCCCCCACTACTACCCCCCTCCCCCCACTACTACCCCCCTCCCCCCACTACTACCCCCCACTACTACCCCTCTCCCCCCACTACTAGCCCTCTCCCCCCACTACTACCCCTTACTACTACCCCCCTCCCCCCACTACTACTACCCCCCTCCCCCCACTACTACCCCCCTCCCCCCACTACTACCCCTCTCTCCCCACTACTACCCACCACTACTACCCCCCTCCCCCCACTACTACCCCTCTCCCCCCACTACTACCCCCCTCCCCCACTACTACCCCTCTCCCCCCAATACTACCCCTCTCCCCCCACTACTACCCCTCTCCCCCCACTACTACCCCACTACTTCCCCCCTCCCCCCACTACTACCCCCCTCCCCCCACTACTACCCCCCTCCCTCCACTAATACCCCCCTCCCCCCACTATTACCCCCCTCCCCCCACTACTACCCCTCTCCCCCCTCTACTACCTTCCTCCCCCCACTACTACCCCTCTCCCCCCACTACTACCCCCCTCCCCCCACTACACTACTATCCCTCTCCCACCACTACTACCCCCCTCCCCCCACTACTACCCCCTCCCCCCACTACTACCCCCCTCCCCCCACTACTACCCCCCTCCCCCCACTACTACCCCCCTCCCCCCACTACTACCCCCCTCCCCCCACTACTACCCCCCACTACTACCCCCTCCCCCCACAACTACCCCCCTCCCCCCACTAATACCCCCCTTCCCCCACTACTACCCCCCTCCCCCCACTACTACCCCCCTCCCCCCACTACTACCCCTCTCCCCCCACTACTACCCCCCTCCCCCCACTACTACCCCCCTCCCCCCACTACTACCCCTCTCCCCCCACTACTACCCCCCACTACTACCCCTCTCTCCCCACTACTACCCCCCACTATTACCCCCCTCCCCCCACTACTACCCCTCTCCCCCCACTACTACCCCCCTCACCCCCACTACTACCCCTCTCCCCCCACTACTACCCCCAACTACTACCCCCTCCCCCCACTACTACCCCTCTCCCCCACTACTACCCCCTCCCCCCACTACTACCCCCCTCCCCCCACTACTACCCCCCTCCCCCCACTACTACCCCCCTCCCCCCACTACCACCCCCTCCCCCCACTACTACCCCTCTCTCCCCACTACTACCCCCCACTACTACCCCCCTCCCCCCACTACTACCCCTCTCCCCCCACTACTACCCCCCTCCCCCCACTACTACCCCTCTCCCCCCACTACTACCCCCAACTACTACCCCCTCCCCCCACTACTACCCCCCTCCCCCCACTACTACTCCCCTCCCCCCACTACTACCCCTCTCCCCCACTACTACCCCCTCCCCCCACTACTGCTCCCCTCCCCCCACTACTACCCCTCTCCCCCCACTACTACCCCCCTCCCCCCAATACTACCCTCCTCCCCCCACTACTACCCCCTCCCCCCACTACTACCCCCCCTCCTCCCACTACTACCCCCCTCCCCCCACTACTACCCCCTCCCCCCACTAATACCCCCTCCCCCCACTAATACCCCCTCTGCTTCCTCTCCCTCCTTACTGCCCCCCTCCCTCCCTTCTCCCACTAACCACCAGCCCCCCCCCCCATCTTTGTTTCTCATCTCCCTCTGGTTTTCTCTTCCCCACTCTCACCCTCCCCTCCTCTCCCTCCCCTCCTCTCCCACCATCTCCATTTCACTCCCTCGCCAGTTCTCCCTCTCCTCCTCCTCCCTCCTCCCCCGGCTCTCTCTCATTTCCATCCTCACCTCCGCCTGGGTTGCATCACCTCCCCACCTGTACCACCCCCTCCTCCCCCAGGCTGATAAAGATGTCCAGCCCATACATGAACAACCTCATCATCCTGGGCGGATTGCTCTCCTACCTCTCCATCTTCCTCTTCGGCCTCGACGGCGAGCTCGTGTCCGCTAGCTCCTTCCAGAGGGCGTGCGCCGTGAGTTGGGGGGGGGGGGCGGGGGTGGGGGGGGGGCGGGGGGGGGGGGGGGGGGGGGGCGGGGGTGGGGGGCGTGGGTGGGGGTGAAGCCCATCAACGCGGACAGCGGCAGCAGCAGAAGAATCTGATTCAGTGTAATCACGGGGGGGAGGGGGGGTGATGATGAATGGGGGAAGAGAGGGGGTGGGGGGGGGCGGGGTGAGTGTGTGGCCTCCCCTAGGTTGACTCAGCCTCAAATGCGTACCTGGTGCGGTGTGTCGTGAACATCGCCACTAGGGAGACAAAGGCGGTCGCGCGAAGCGTTGGCCACCCACCCCCTCGTGTGCCGTGCCGGCCTTGTTGGGTGCTGCCGCTACTCGCTAACAGCACTTGCCCCTACAGCCTGTTAAGGCTACCCCGAGGATCTTTGCCTTTGACCTCCGTGGGACGTGACCCGACAGGGTTCAGCCTGGGTGGTGGGAGCGGTGGCGCAGTGGTTAGCACGCCGAGCCCCGCTCACGCTCACGCAGGGCCGACGTCATTGGTGAATCCCCGAGGACCGGGCTCTCGGTCTCGGTGTGCCGCCAACGCTGCTACCGCTGCCACTACTGCCGCCACTACTGCTGCTGCTGTCACCGCTACCGCCACTACTGCCGCCACTGCTGCTGCTGCTGCCACTGCTGCCGCCACTGCTGCTGCTGCCGCCACTGCTGCTGTCACCGCTACCGCCACTGCTGCCGCCACTGCTGCCGCTGCTGCTACTGCTGCTGCTGCCGCTACTGCTACTGCTGCCGCTACTGCTGCCGCTACTGCTGCTGCTACTGCTGCCGCTACTGCTGCTGCTACTGCTGCTGCTGCTACTGCTGCTGCTGCCACTGCTGCTGCTACTGCTGCTGCCGCTGCTGCTGCTGCTACTGCTGCCGCTGCTGCTGCTACTGCTGCTGCTACTGCTGCTACTACTGCTGCTGCTGCTGCTACTGCTGCTGCTACTACTGCTGCTGCTACTGCTGCTGCTGCCACTGCTGCCGCTACTGCTGCTGCCGCTGCTACTGCTGCTGCCACTGCTGCTGCTACTACTGCTGCTGCTGTCACTGCTGCTGCTACTGCTGCCGCTGCTACTTCTGCTGCTACTGCTGCTGCTATTGCTGCTGCCGCTGCTACTGCCGCTACTGCTGCTGCTGCTGCTGCTACTACTACTGCTACTGCCAATGCTGCTGCCACTGCTGCTGCCACTGCTGCTGCTACGATCTCTACATTTTGCTTCATTGCCGCACTTTGTTTAATTCGATCGATGGTGGTCATTGCGGTGCCACACCCAGGCCCCTCCTGCGAATGAGACCTCCTCCTGCTCCTCCTCCTGCTCCTCCTCCTGCTCCTCCTCCTGCTCCTCCACCTGCTCCTCCATCCTGCTCCTCCTCCTGCTCCTCCATCCTGCTCCTCCTCCTGCTCCTCCTCCTGCTCCTCCTCCTCCTGCTCCTCCTCCTGCTCCTCCTCCTGCTCCTCCTCCTGCTCCTCCTCCTGCTCCTCCTCCTGCTCCTCCTCCTGCTCCTCCTCCTGCTCCTCCTCCTCCTGCTCCTCCTCCTCCTGCTCCTCCTCCTGCTCCTCCATCCTCTCCCTGGCCCACACAACCCCAGCCGACTCGAGCCGTGCCACCCTCCGGCATCTCTCATCCAGCCGCCTCCTTCAGAGTGTCTCCCATTCCCCCGGACACCCCCCCCCCTCTCCCCTGCCCCCCCCCTCCTCCACTCCACCCCCTCCCCCGCCCCACACGGAGCCCCCCACTCCAGCCATTAACGAGCACCGCAATATTCACGGGCGTGTTCACACGGCACGCGGCCGTGTGAACACACGTCCCCAGGGATGGCGGTGCGGAGTGGGGTGGAGTTGGGGGGTGAGAGGGGGCGGGTGGGGGGTGGAGTTGGGGGTAGGGGGAGGGCGGGTGGGGGGTGGAGTTGGGGGTGGGGGGGGTGGAGTTGGGGGTGAGAGGGGGCGGGTGGGGGTTGGGGGGTGAGAGGGGGCGGGTGGGGGGTGGAGTTGGGGGTGGGGGGAGTGGAGTTGGGGGTGGGGGGGGAGTGGAGTTGGGGGTGGGGGGAGTGGAGTTGGGCGGGGTGGGGGGTGGAGTTGGGGGTGGGGGGGGGGAGTTGGGGGTAGGGGGGGTGGAGTTGGGGGTGGCGGGTGGGGGGGGTGGAGTTGGGGGGTGAGAGGGGGCGGGTGGGGGGTGGAGTTGGGGGTGGGGGGGAGTGGAGTTGGGGGTGGGGGGGAGGGGCGGGTTTCAATGTTCGATCCGGTCCGAGCCGTCACCGCTCACGTTACACGCTGAGTGTCGCATTCCGGATCCAAGCAGCAGCACTCGCCCCCACCCCTCCTCGACCTCGCCCCCCCCACCCCCCGCCTAACTCTTACCCCACCTCGAACTCACCCGCTTTGGCCTCCTCCTCCTCCTCGTCGTGCTTCCCCTCGTGGAAATTCCACGTTCCCGTGGCCGGCACGAGTATTATCCGTAAGACAAAAACCGCCCGTTGAATTCCGCTGCAAAGTGGTGCTCGCTCTATCGATCCCGGAGAGATGGCGAGAGGGATGATGGTCTGAGTCAACCCACCCCCTCCCCTCCCCCCCCCACAGCCGGTAGCGGGGGGGTAAATGCGCAGCCCTGCAATAGCCCGCTCACGTCACCGCTGGTGGAAGGAGCTCGCGATTCGAGGGGGCACCTGGTCCCTTCTCTGCTACGCTGTTCAGGCTTCTTGGAGTAGTTGTGGTGTGACCCTGGTGTGCTGTGGTGTGACCCTGGCGTGCTGTGGTGTGACCCTGGCGTGATGTGGCGTGACCCTGTGGTGTGACCCTGTGGTGTGACCCTGGTGTGCTGTGGCGTGACCCTGGTGTGCTGTGGCGTGACCTTGGCGTGCTGTGGTGTGACCCTGGTGTGCTGTGGCGTGACCCTGGTGTGCTGTGGCGTGACCCTGGTGTGCTGTGGTGTGACCTTGGCGTGCTGTGGCGTGACCCTGGTGTGCTGTGGTGTGACTTTGGCGTACTGTGGTGTGACCCTGGCGTGCTGTGGTGTGACCCTGGTGTGCTGTGGTGTGACCCTGGTGTGCTGTGGCGTGACCCTGGCGTGCTGTGGCGTGACCCTAGTGCACATGCTGTGAGTTGTATGAAGTGGTGTTGTGGCATGACTCCCGGTTTTGTGCAAACCCTGGTTTGGCGTGGGGTGACCACGGTGTGGTGTGACCTGGTGTGGCGTGACCCTGTGTGATGTGGTTACCCGGTATGGCGTGGCCCCGGTGCAGCTTGACCCGGTGTGGTGTGTTCACCCGGTGTGGTGTGACCCAGAGTGGTGTTTTTACCCGGTGGGGCGTGACCCGGTGTGGTGTGTTCACCCGGTGTGGTGTGACCCAGAGTGGTGTTTTTACCCGGTGCGGCGTGGCCGCGGTGTGGCTTGCCCTGGTGTGGTTTGACCCGGTGTGGTGTGGCTACCCGGTTTTGTTGTTGTTGTTATCAGGCCCGCACGTGGATCCTTACGCTGGGCTACACCACGGCGTTCGGGGCGATGTTCGCCAAGACGTGGCGTGTCCACGCCATCTTCAAGAACGTCAAGATGAAGAAGAAGGTGACGCCACTCCACGTTCACATGGCGGGGGCCAGTATACACCCGCAGGGCGATGATGATGATGATTATGAAATTACTAATTTTACTGCTGCAGCTGATGGCAATGATTGTTAATCTACTTCTGCTTGATGATGATGATGATGGTGGTACTGATGATGATGATGAAAGTTTTACTGCTGGTATTGATGATGATAATCATGATGATGATATCACTGATGACACTGCCGATGATGCTGCTGCTACTGATGCTGCTACTGCTGCCACTGAGTGTGCTGCTACTGATGCCGCTACTACTGCTGCTGATGCTACTTCTGGTGATGCTATTTCTGCTGATGCTACTGCTGATGATGCTACTACTGCTGATGCTACTGCTGATCATGCTACTGCTGTTGCTGCTGATACTGATGCTATTGCTGCCGATGCTGCTGCTGATGATGATGTTGCTGATGATGCTACTGTTGCTGATGATGATGCTGATGCTGATGCTGCTGATACTGATGCTATTTCTGCCGATGCTGCTGCTGATGATGCTGCTGCTGATTATGCTACTGCGGCTGATGATGATGATGCTACTGCTGATGCTGCTGATGCTACTGCTGCTGATGCTGCTACTGATGATGCTACTGTTGATGCTACTACTGCTGATGCTGCTAATGCTACGACTGCTGATGGTACTACTGCTGATGCTGCTACTGCTCAAGTTAATGCGTTAAATTCACATTCTGCAATCCCCCCCCACTCAGATAATCAAAGACCAGAAGTTGGTTGGCATCGTGGGGGGCATGCTGCTGATAGATCTGGGGGTGCTCACCACGTGGCAGGCCATGGACCCCCTCAAGCGCACTATCGAGCAGTACCCCCTCGAGGTGAGGATCCATCATCAGCAACATCATCATCAGCAACATCATCAGCAACATCATCATCAGAAGCATCATCATCGGCAACAGAAGAATCATCATCAGCAGCAGCAGTGGAAGTTATCATTTGCAGCAACATCATCATCAACAACAACATCATCACCATCCGAAGCATCGTCATCAGTCGCCATGGTCTATCCACTGCTGGTCGTAGGCCTCCCCACCCAGCCGCTCTCTTTCAGGATCCAACTCTCGCTCCCGAATGCGTTGGCGACTGCCATGCACGCAAGGCGCTATAGGCTACAGGCTGCGCTGTTTCTGCTGCTGCTGCTGTTTGGGCTGATGGTGATGCTGATGATGATGCTGCTGCTCCTGGTCCGGGCTGACCCGTGCCCTGGAGTGAACCCATGCCCTGGAGTGAACCCATGCCCTGGAGTGAGCCTGTGCCCTGGAGTGAGCCCGTGCCCTGGAGTGAGCCCGTGCCATGGAGTGAACCTGTGCACTGGAGTGAACCCGTGCCCTGGAGTGAACCCATACCCTGGAGTGAGCCTGTGCCTTGGAGTGAGCCCGTGCCCTGGAGTGAGCCCGTGCCATGGAGTGAACCTGTGCACTGGAGTGAGCCCGTGCACTGGAGTGAACCCGTGCCCTGGAGTAAGCCCGTGCCCTGGAGTGAACCCGTGCCCTGGAGTGAGCCCGTGCCCTGGAGTAAGCCCGTGCCCTGGAGTGAGCCCGTGCCCTGGAGTGAACCCGTGCCCTGGAGTGAGCCCGTGCCCTGGAGTGAGCCCGTGCCCTGGAGTGAACCCGTGCCCTGGAGTGAACCCGTGCCCTGGAGTGAACCCGTGCATCCGTAGCTCCGCGTGACTCCAGGCCGTTGAATAAATGAATCGCTGCCTAACGGCACTCGTTGCTTCCTGCTCAGCGCGCGGTGATTGGGGCGTCCATCATCAGCCTGGCAGCTCGGGAGGGGGGAGGGGGGGAGGGGAGGGTAATGAGATGAGGAGGTGACGGTGAGTGGAGGAGGGTGATGTAAAGCAGGGAGCCACGGTGGCTAGGAGATGTTAACTACCTCGCCTGGTATACAGGAGGTCGTGGGTTTGATCACGACCCTGACGCCAGCTGCTATATATTTGGAGTTTGCGTCTCTCTCATCATCATCATCATCACGGTGGCTAGGAGATGTTAACTACCTCGCCTGGTATACAGGAGGTCGTGGGTTCGATCCCGACCCTGAGGCCTGCTGCTGTATATTTGGAGTTTGCGTGTCTCTCTCTCTCATCATCACGGTGGCTAGGAGATGTTGACTACCTCGCTTGGTATACAGGTGGCCGTGGGTTTGATCCCGACCCTGACACCTGCTGCTGTATATTTGGAGTTTGCGATGTCTCTCTCATCATCATCACGGTAGCTAGGAGATGTTAACTACCTCGCCTGGTGTACAGGAGGTCGTGGGTTTGATCCCGACCCTGACGCCTGCTGCTGCTGTATATTTGGAGTTTGCGTGTCTCTCTCTCTCTCTCATCATCATCACGGTGTCTCTCTCTCTCTCTCCCCGTGCATTTCCTCTCCGGGTCCTCCGGATTCTACCCTCCACACTTAGCAACGCGCATTTAGACTTTAAGTGTTTGGCTGCTGTGAGTGTCCACGTGATGATGACGTTGACGATGACGAGCCCAAGTCGTCGAGCTGTCGTTTGTGATGGGCAGGTCGCTTCTGAGAAAAGAGCTACGCCGCTCAGCGCACCTCGCCTGCTAACATCAACAGAGTTTCATAGGGGAGTTGTTGTCCTTCCTACGCAACCTCCGGTTAGTACGGTTGGCTATGGACGGTGCAAAAAAAGTTCGACAAACATGCAGGAGTGGGTGATGGGAGGGGGCAGTGGCGGAGCCAGTGGGGGGGGTGGGGTGGCACGTGCCCCCCCCCCAATGATCCGATCGAAATCCCTAATTTCGATCGGATCATTGGGGATTATCAGTAATAAATCGGCATTTTGCGACCCCCACTGCCACTGTGTAACATTTTATTACGTACCAGGGACTATGAGATGATGGGACAATAATCTGAGTCCATAATTATCAATAAGTAACGGCAAAGCGGTTATAAGTGACTCACAGAATTGTGCTCAGTTGCGTCTACAGAGTCCACGACTTCCCGGAAGGCATCGACACCTTCAGCGAGCACGAGGCCGATCACACAACGCGGTTCCAATTCGACCCTCGATCGATGGCTGCAGAAGCGCCCGGGGACAAGTCCTTACTTACTAACAACTCCTTACTTACTAACAACTCCTTACTAACAACTCCTTACTTACTAACAACTCCTTACTTACTAACAACTCCTTACTTACTAACAACTCCTTACTTACTAACAACTCCTCTATCATATTCTTAGCTCTTTCGGTAAAGTCACGTTGAAGGGAAACAATAAAATAATAAAAAACATATAAAACAATAAAAATTATCACGACGTTTCGACCATAACACAAACGGTCGTCATCAGGTGTGTCGGTTCGCATTAATTAATGTGTATTTATTTATTTATAAAAAATACATTTATGTGTATTTATTTATTTAGTTATAAAAAAATAAATACATTTATGTGTATTTATTTATAAAAAATAAATACACCGTTTATAAATAAAAAAATACACCGTTTATAAATAGATAAATTAATGCAGACCGACACACCTGATGACGACCGTTTGTGTTATGGTCGAAACTTCGTCAGAATTTTTATTGTTTTATATATATTTTATTGTTTCCCTTCAACGTGACTTTACCGAAAGAGCTAAGAATATGAATTACTGCAGTCACGAAAGCTTTAAATAAAAAAATAACAACTCCTCTTATCATTTTTCATTGCTGAAGGGGTTGCCCCCCCCCTACTTGAAAATCCTGGCTCCGCCTCTGGGATGGGGTGGGATGAATGTAAGAGGAGGGGACAGAGGGGGGGGAGAGGGATGACTGATGCCGACGACGAGGACGATGATGATGCTGTTGGTGTTGGTGTTGCTGGCGATCATCGACCCACAATGAGCATCTCGCTTCGTGTGGGGTAGGGGCAAGGCAGCAGTGGAGGGGTGGGGGAGTGGGGGCGATGACGTCTCCGGATGTGACGTCACACCAGGTGGAGGGGCCGTGGCGCGACTCGTGGCAACCAATGGCAGTGAGCGCCGAGCCGCCGGGGAAAATCTGTCCAACCCGATACTGGGGAGGTGTACACTGGGCGACGTTTCAGGCAATGGCCCTAATTCATGGCACATGGAGAGGAGATAGAGGTAGCAGTTGGTCCGTCTCTCCAGCCTCTGTGTGTGCTCTGAAGAGGGGGATGCCTGAAACGTCGCCTATTTATACATGTATTTCCCTGTTTAAAGTCGTAGTGTTATATGGGTCTCTGTGTGAGTCTATTGGTTTATGTGTGAGTCTATGGGTCTCTATGTGACTGGGTTTCTATGTGAGTCCATTGGGTCTCTGTGTGAGTCTATTGGTTTATGTGTGAGTCCATGGCTCTCTATGTGAGTGCGTTTCTACGTGAGTCCATTGGGTCTCTGTGTGAGTCTATGGGTTTATGTGTGAGTATATGGGTCTCTATGTGAGTGGGTTTCTAAGTGAGTCCATTGGGTCTCTGTGTGAGTCTATGGGTTTATGTGTGAGTCTATGGGTCTCTATGTGAGTGGGTTTCTAAGTGAGTCTATGGGTCTCTGTGTGAGTCTATTGGTTTATGTGTGAGTCTATGGGTCTCTATGTGAGTGGGTTTTTAAGTGAGTCTATGGGTCTCTGTGTGAGTCTATTGGTTTATGTGTGAGTCTATGGGTCTCTATGTGAGTGGGTTTCTAAGTGAGTCTATGGGTCTCTGTGTGAGTCTATTGGTTTATGTGTGAGTCTATGGGTCTCTATGTGAGTGGGTTTCTAAGTGAGTCCATTGGATCTCTGTGTGAGTCGATGGGTTTATGTGTGAGTCTATGGGTCTCTGTGTGAGTCTATGGGTTTATGTGTGAGTCTATGGGTCTCTATCTGAGTGGGTTTCTAAGTGAGTCTATGGGTCTCTGTGTGAGTCTATTGGTTTATGTGTGAGTCTATGGGTCTCTATGTGAGCGGGTTTCTACGTGAGTCCATTGGGCCTCTGTGTGAGTCTATGGGTTTATGTGTGAGTCTATGGGTCTCTGTGTGAGTGGGTTTCTATGTGAGTCCATTGGGTCTCTGTGTGAGTCTATGGGTTTATGTGTGAGTCTATGGGTCTCTGTGTGAGTGGGTTTCTAGGTGAGTCCATTGGGCCTCTGTGTGAGTCTATGGGTTTATGTGTGAGTCTATGGGTCTCTGTGTGAGTCTATGGGTTTATGTGTGAGTCTATGGGTCTCTATCTGAGTGGGTTTCTAAGTGAGTCTATGGGTCTCTGTGTGAGTCTATTGGTTTATGTGTGAGTCTATGGGTCTCTTTGTGAGCGGGTTTCTACGTGAGTCCATTGGGCCTCTGTGTGAGTCTATGGGTTTATGTGTGAGTCTATGGGTCTCTGTGTGAGTGGGTTTCTATGTGAGTCCATTGGGTCTCTGTGTGAGTCTATGGGTTTATGTGTGAGTCTATGGGTCTCTGTGTGAGTGGGTTTCTAGGTGAGTCCATTGGGCCTCTGTGTGAGTCTATGGGTTTATGTGTGAGTCTATGGGTCTCTATGTGAGTGGGTTTCTACGTAAGTCCATTGGGCCTCGGTGTGAGTCTATGGGTTTATGTGTGAGTCTATGGGTCTCTGTGTGAGTGGGTTTCTACGTGAGTCCATTGGGTCTCTGTGTGAGTCTATGGGTTTATGTGTGAGTCTATGGGTCTCTATGTGAGTGGGTTTCTAAGTGAGTCCATTGGATCTCTGTGTGAGTCGATGGGTTTATGTGTGAGTCTATGGGTCTCTATGTGAGTGGGTTTCTAGGTGAGTCCATTGGGTCTCTGTGTGAGTCTATGGGTTTATGTGTGAGTCTATGGGTCTCTGTGTGAGTGGGTTTCTACGTGAGTCTATGGGTCTCTGTGTGAGTCTATAGGTCTCTGTGTGAGTCTATGGGTCTCTGTGTGAGTCTATGGGTTTATGTGTGAGGCTATGGGTCTCTATGTGAGTGGGTTTCTATGTGAGACCATTGGGTCTCTGTGTGAGTCTATTGGTTTATGTGTGAGTCTATGGGTCTCTGTGTGAGTGGGTTTCTAAGTGAGTCTATGGGTCTCTGTGTGAGTCTATGGGTTTATGTGTGAGTCTATGGGTCTCTGTGTGAGTGGGTTTCTACGTGAGTCCATTGGTCTCTGTGTGAGTCTATGGGTTTATGTGTGAGTCTATGGGTCTCTATGTGAGTGGGTTTCAAAGTGAGTCCATTGGTCTCTGTGTGAGTCTATGGGTTTATGTGTGAGTCTATGGGTCTCTGTGTGAGTCTATTGGTTCATGTGTGAGTCTATGGGTCTCTGTGTGAGCGGGTTTCTACGTGAGTCCGTTGTGTCTCTGTGTGAGTCTATGGGTTTATGTGTGAGTCTATGGGTCTCTATCTGAGTGGGTTTCTACGTGAGTCTATGGGTCTCTGTGTGAGTCTATGGGTTTATGTGTGAGTCTATGGGTCTCTATCTGAGTGGGTTTCTACGTGAGTCCATTGGGTCTCTGTGTGAGTCTATGGGTCTCTGTGTGAGTCTATGGGTCTCTGTGTGAGTCTATGGGTCTCTGTGTGAGTCTATGAGGCCCCAGTGTACCCATCACTGTGATTGGAGCTGAAATCCTGAGAGGAACCCAGGTTGCTAGCGGTCCCGGCTCCACGTCGTGCCCGGCGTGCCAGTTGCCGGGGCCCGTGTCCCGTCATCGCCTCCACCGCACTCACCGGCAGCAGCGTCGCCTCCTCGTCGCTGCCGCTGCTGCCGTGGTCGCCGTTGGCCGTGGACTTCACCCGTTGGTGTCTCTCCATCAACTGTGTTGAGCAACTCGGACTCACTCGTACACTTCGTTTCACCACCCCTCCCGCCCCCAGCCCGACCCATCGGGCCGGGACTTGGCGATCCGGCCGCAGCTGGAGCACTGTGAAAGCCACCACATGACTGTGTGGCTCGGGATCATCTACGCCTACAAGGGGCTGCTCATGGTGAGTGGCCGCTCGCCAGCCCGCCCGCCCGCCGGCCAGCTCGCGTCCTCGTCCACTCAGCTCGATAAGTCACTCGTTTGGTCACTCGTGTAAACTCGCTCGCACATTCGCTCTCTCGCTCGCTCGGCCACTCGATTACCTAACCACCTACTCACTCATCCACTCACTCACTCGCCCGTCCATTCACTCACTCACTCACGCACTCACTCACTCACTCGCCCACCCACTCACTCACTCACCCACTCACCCACTCACTCACTCACTCGCCCGTCCATTCACTCACCCACCCACTCACTCACTCGCCCGTCCATTCACTCACCCACTCACCCACCCACTCACTCACTCGCCCGTCCATTCACTCACCCACTCACCCACCCACTCACTCACTCGCCCGCCCACTCACCCACTCACTCACTCACCCGCTTACCGTCTCTCCCACCCACTCACTCGCCCGCCCGCCCGCCCACTCACTCACTCACTCACCCACTCACTCACTCACCAACTCACCCACTCACTCACTGGCCCGCCCACTCACCCACTCACTCACCTACTCACCCACTCACCCACCCACTCATTCGCCCGCCCATTTACTCACTCGCTCACCTGCCCACCCTCCCACCCGCCCACCCTCCCACCCGCCCACCCACCTAACCACCCAGTCACCTACCCATTCACTCACCCACCCGCCCACCCCCTCACCCACCCGCCCACCCTCTCACCCACTAACGCACCCCCTCACCCACCCACTCACCGACTCACCCACCTACCCACCCATTATACTACCCACCTACTCACTCACCCACTCACCCACATATCCACCCATTATACTACCCACCTGCTCACCCATCCAGTCACCCACTAAATCACCGACCCACTCACCCACCTACCCACTCACCTACCCACCTTTCCCCCACCCCGATTCCCCCCCACCCCCCCCCCCACAAGGTTTTCGGCTGCTTCCTAGCGTGGGAGACGCGGAATGTCTCCATCCCGGCGCTCAACGACAGCCGCTACATCGGCATGGCGGTCTACAACGTGGGCATCATGAGCATCATCGGAGCGGCCGTCTCCTTCCTGACGCGCGACCAGCCCAACGTGCAGTACTGCGTCGTCGCCCTCGTCACCATCTTCTCCGCCACCATCACCCTCTGCCTCGTCTTCGTGCCCAAGGTGAGGCGCGGCGCCGGCGACGGAGCCCGCGTGGGGCCGGGCGGCCTCTGCGACCGGGCAGTGCCAGGCTAGGTGCGCAGGCTACAGCTGGAGGCGGTCGCCCGTCATCAGGCGCGGAGGTGGCGCGGCGGATGAAAGGCGGCGAGTTGGCACGGTGGGGCGAGCGCGCGTGGTGGCATCTGCCAGTCAGCCAACCGATGGTACCCGCTGGGTCTGTCCCGTGATGCCTTTTGGCGCTTGACGCGACGGCTTCAAGGTGCACCTAGCCTGGCACAAGCACCGTGGTGACGTCACCGCCAGTTGGTGACGAACGGCGATTGTTGTTGTGTGTGTGTGTGTGTTATGTATAAGTGTGCGCGTGACCTCCTGTCAGCGAGCTTTACACAATTCATGTGGTCTCAAGGCGCACCTAGCCTGGCACAAGCGTTGTGATAATGTACTCATATGTGTGTCAACATGTGTGTGTGTGTACCCGTGTGTACCCATGTGTGTGTGATCCTCTCTGTGTGTGTGTGATCCTGTGTGTGTGTTCCCGTGTGTTCCCGTGTGTGTGTGATCCTCTGTGTGTGTGTGTGTGTTCCCGTGTGTACCCGTGTGTGTGTGTGTGTGTGATCCTCTGTGTGTGTGTTCCCGTGTGTACCCATGTGTGTGTGATCCTCTGTGTGTGCGTGTGTGTTCCCGTGTGTACCCATGTGTGTGTGATCCTCTGTGTGTGTGTGTGTGTGTTCCCGTGTGTACCCATGTGTGTGTGTTCCTCTGTGTGTGTGTGTGTACCCATGTGTACCCATGTGGGTGTGATCCTCTGTGTGTGTGTGTGTGTTCCCGTGTGTACCCATGTGTGTGTGATCCTCTTGTGTGTGTGTACCCGTGTGTACCCATGTGTGTGTGATTCTCTGTGTGTGTGTGTGTGTACCCGTGTGTACCCATGTGTGTGTGATCCTCTGTGTATGTGTGTGTTCCCGTGTGTACCCATGTGTGTGTGATCCTCTGTGTGTGCGTGTGTGTTCCCGTGTGTACCCATGCGTGTGTGATCCTGTGTGTGTGTTCCCCTGTGTACCCATGTGTGTGTGATCCTCTGTGTGTGTGTGTGTGTGTGTTCCCCTGTGTACCCATGTGTGTGTGATCCTCTGTGTGTGTGTACCCGTGTGTACCCATGTGTGTGTGATCCTCTGTGTGTGTGTGTTCCCGTGTGTACCCATGTGTGTGTGATCCTCTGTGTGTGATCCTCTGTGTGTGTGTTCCCGTGTGTACCCATGTGTGTGTGATCCTCCGTGTGTGTGTGTGTGTACCCGTGTGTACCCATGTGTGTGTGATCCTCTGTGTGTGTGTGTGTTCCCGTGTGTACCCATGTGTGTGTGTTCCTCTGTGTGTGTGTGTACCCGTGTGTACCCATGTGTGTGTGATCCTCTGTGTGTGTGTTCCCGTGTGTACCCATGTGTGTGTGATCCTCTGTGTGTGTGTGTGACCGTGTGTACCCATGTGTGTGTGATTTTCTGTGTGTGTGTGTGTGTTCCCGTGTGTACCCATGTGTGTGTGATCCTCTGTGTGTGTGTGTACCCGTGTGTACCCATGTGTGTGTGATCCTCTGTGTGTGTGTACCCGTGTGTACCCATGTGTGTGTGATCCTCTGTGTGTGTGTACCCGTGTGTACCCATGTGTGTGTGATTCTCTGTGTGTGTGTGTGTGTGTTCCCGTGTGTACCCATGTGTGTGTGATCCTCCGTGTGTGTGTGTGTGTTCCCGTGTGTACCCATGTGTGTGTGATCCTCTGTGTGTGTGTGTTCCCGTGTGTACCCATGTGTGTGTGATCCTCTGTGTGTGCGTGTGTGTTCCCGTGTGTACCCATGTGTGTGTGATCCTCTGTGTGTGTTCCCCTGTGTACCCATGTGTGTGTGATCCTCTGTGTGTGTGTGTGTGTTCCCCTGTGTACCCATGTGTGTGTGATCCTCTGTGTGTGTGTGTACCCGTGTGTACCCATGTGTGTGTCATCCTCTGTGTGTGTGTGTTCCCGTGTGTACCCATGTGTGTGTGATCCTCTGTGTGTGTGTTCCCGTGTGTACCCATGTGTGTGTGATCCTCTGTGTGTGTGTGTGTATCCGTGTGTACCCATGTGTGTGTGATCCTCTGTGTGTGTGTGTGTGTGTATCCGTGTGTACCCATGTGTGTGTGATCCTCTGTGTGTGTGTGTTCCCGTGTGTACCCATGTGTGTGTGATCCTCTGTGTGTGCGTGTGTGTTCCCGTGTGTACCCATGTGTGTGTGATCCTCTGTGTGTGTGTGTGTGTACCCGTGTGTACCCATGTGTGTGTGATCCTCTGTGTATGTGTGTGTTCCCGTGTGTACCCATGTGTGTGTGATCCTCTGTGTGTGTGTGTGTATCCGTGTGTACCCATGTGTGTGTGATCCTCTGTGTGTGTGTGTGTGTGTGTATCCGTGTGTACCCATGTGTGTGTGATCCTCTGTGTGTGTGTGTTCCCGTGTGTACCCATGTGTGTGTGATCCTCTGTGTATGTGTGTGTTCCCGTGTGTACCCATGTGTGTGTGATCCTCTGTGTGTGCGTGTGTGTTCCCGTGTGTACCCATGCGTGTGTGATCCTGTGTGTGTGTTCCCCTGTGTACCCATGTGTGTGTGATCCTCTGTGTGTGTGTGTGTGTTCCCCTGTGTACCCATGTGTGTGTGATCCTCTGTGTGTGTGTACCCGTGTGTACCCATGTGTGTGTGATCCTCTGTGTGTGTGTGTTCCCGTGTGTACCCATGTGTGTGTGATCCTCTGTGTGTGATCCTCTGTGTGTGTGTTCCCGTGTGTACCCATGTGTGTGTGATCCTCCGTGTGTGTGTGTGTGTACCCGTGTGTACCCATGTGTGTGTGATCCTCTGTGTGTGTGTGTGTTCCCGTGTGTACCCATGTGTGTGTGTTCCTCTGTGTGTGTGTGTACCCGTGTGTACCCATGTGTGTGTGATCCTCTGTGTGTGTGTTCCCGTGTGTACCCATGTGTGTGTGATCCTCTGTGTGTGTGTGTGACCGTGTGTACCCATGTGTGTGTGATCCTCTGTGTGTGTGTGTGTTCCCGTGTGTACCCATGTGTGTGTGATCCTCTGTGTGTGTGTGTACCCGTGTGTACCCATGTGTGTGTGATCCTCTGTGTGTGTGTACCCGTGTGTACCCATGTGTGTGTGATCCTCTGTGTGTGTGTACCCGTGTGTACCCATGTGTGTGTGATTCTCTGTGTGTGTGTGTGTGTTCCCGTGTGTACCCATGTGTGTGTGATCCTCCGTGTGTGTGTGTGTGTTCCCGTGTGTACCCATGTGTGTGTGATCCTCTGTGTGTGTGTGTTCCCGTGTGTACCCATGTGTGTGTGATCCTCTGTGTGTGCGTGTGTGTTCCCGTGTGTACCCATTTGTGTGTGATCCTCTGTGTGTGTTCCCCTGTGTACCCATGTGTGTGTGATCCTCTGTGTGTGTGTTCCCCTGTGTACCCATGTGTGTGTGATCCTCTGTGTGTGTGTGTACCCGTGTGTACCCATGTGTGTGTCATCCTCTGTGTGTGTGTGTTCCCGTGTGTACCCATGTGTGTGTGATCCTCTGTGTGTGTGTTCCCGTGTGTACCCATGTGTGTGTGATCCTCTGTGTGTGTGTGTGTATCCGTGTGTACCCATGTGTGTGTGATCCTCTGTGTGTGTGTGTGTGTGTATCCGTGTGTACCCATGTGTGTGTGATCCTCTGTGTGTGTGTGTTCCCGTGTGTACCCATGTGTGTGTGATCCTCTGTGTGTGCGTGTGTGTTCCCGTGTGTACCCATGTGTGTGTGATCCTCTGTGTGTGTGTGTGTGTTCCCCTGTGTACCCATGTGTGTGTGTTCCTCTGTGTGTGTGTGTGTTCCCGTGTGTACCCATGTGTGCGTGATCCTCTGTGTGTGTGTGTGTGTGATTTTCTGTGTGTGTGTGTGTGTGTGATCCTCTGTGTGTACCCATGTGTGTGTGATCCCCTCTGTGTGTGTGTGTGTTCCCGTGTGTACCCATGTGTGTGTGATCCTCTGTGTGTGTGTGTGTGATCCTCTGTGTGTGTGTGTGTTCCCGTGTGTACCCATGTGTGTGTGTTCCTCTGTGTGTGTGTGTGATTTTCTGTGTGTGTGTGTGTTCCCGTGTGTACCCATGTGTGTGTGATCCTCTGTGTGTGTGTGTGATCCTCTGTGTGTGTGTGTGATTTTCTGTGTGTGTGTGTGTGTGATTTTCTGTGTGTGTGTGTTCCCGTGCTGCGCAGCTTCTGGCGCTGCGCACGAACCCGGACGCGGCGACGCAGGCCCGGCGCCTGCGTTTCGCGCCGGGCAAGGCGACGGACGACCAACGCAACCTCCTGGCGAGCGGCGGCACCGCCCCCGCCGGCTCGGCCACGCGCACCAACACGCTGCACGTGGACAACCGCAAGCTGCGCAAGAAGATCACCGAGGTGACGGCGTAGACTGTGACGTAGACTGTGACGTAGACTGTGACGTAGACTGTGACGTAGACTGTGACGTAGACTGTGACATAGACTATGACGTAGACCGTGACGTAGACTGTGACGTAGACTGTGACGTAGACTGTGACGTAGACCGTGACGTAGACTGTGACGTAGACCGTGACGTAGACCGTGACGTAGATTGTGACGTAGACCGTGACGTAGACCGTGACGTAGACCGTGACGTAGACCGTGACGTAGACTGTGACGTAGACCGTGACGTAGACCGTGACGTAGACCGTGACGTAGACCGTGACGTAGATTGTGACGTAGACCGTGACGTAGATTGTGACGTAGACCGTGACGTAGACCGTGACGTAGATTGTGACGTAGACCGTGACGTAGACCGTGACGTAGACCGTGACGTAGACCGTGACGTAGACCGTGACGTAGACCGTGACGTAGACCGTGACGTAGACTGTGACGTAGACTGTGACGTAGACTATGACGTAGACTGTGACGTAGACTGTGACGTAGACTGTGACATAGACTATGACGTAGACTGTGACGTAGACTGTGACGTAGACTATGACGTAGACTGTGACGTAGACTGTGACATAGACTATGACGTAGACTATGACATGGACTATGATATAGACTATGACATGGACTATGATATAGACTATGACGTAGACTATGACGTAGACTATGACGTAGACTATGACATGGACTATGATGTAGACTATGACGTAGACTATGACGTAGACTATGACGTAGACTATGACGTAGACTGTGACGTAGACTATGACATAGACTATGAACATAGACTGTGACGTAGACTGTGACATAGACTATGACATAGACTATGACGTAGACTATGACATAGACTATGACATAGACTATGACGTAGACTATGACGTAGACTATGACGTAGACTATGACGTAGACTATGACGTAGACTATGACATAGACTATGACATAGACTATGACATAGACTATGACGTAGACTATGACGTAGACACGACATAGACTATGACATAGACTATGATGTAGACTATGACATAGACTATGACATAGACTATGAACATAGACTGTGACGTAGACTATGACATAGACTATGATGTAGACTATGACATAGACTATGACATAGACTATGACATGGACTATGACGTAGACACGACATAGACTATGACATAGACTATGATGTAGACTATGACATAGACTATGACATAGACTATGACATAGACTATGACATGGACTATGACGTAGACACGACATAGACTATGACATAGACTATGACATAGACTGTGACGTAGACTATGACGTAGACACGACAAGGTCCATGAGGCGAGCGAAGAAGATTATGGCCGATTTCTCCCACCCTGGACACTCTCTGTTTCAGCTACTCCCCTCCGGCAGAAGGCTTCGGTCCATCAGGACCAAAACCTCACGCCATAAAAACAGTTTCTTCCCATCTGCTGCTGGCCTGTTAAACAAGGCCAAGGGCTAACACTGTTTTTAACATTTGATCTACATAACGACACCTTGCCGATATTAACTATGTTACCCTATTTGATTTTTTTATTTTTAAATGATATCTTAAAGCTATTTTATATTAGATATTTAATTAATTTTATATACTTCAGCCCCTTGGTGTTAGACTTTTAACCCTTATTATAGTAAGACTTGTTTAAAACTTATTTAAGATTTTAGATTCCTAAATGTTGAATGTATGCACCATCCTGCCAAAGTAAATTCCGTGTCGGTGTGAACTTACATGGCGAATAAAACCTTTTCTGATTCTGACATAGACTCTGACATAGACTATGACATAGACTATGACATAGACTATGACGTAGACACGATATAGACTATGACGTAGACTATGACATAGACTATGACATAGACTATGACATAGACTATGACGCAGCACCGCACGGCGCGAGACGTTTGGAAGGGTCACGTCCTGTGGTGGTGCCGCTGCCTCCGCCGGCGCTGCTTGCAGCTGGACACGCAGGTGGAGGAGCTGACCATCCAGCTGTACGACTCCATGGAGGACAACCCGTTCTTCCCCGAGGGCGAGAGTCGCTCCTGGGTCAACTACGGCTTCCTCGGCTGTGCGGGGGGGGCCGCGGGGCCTGCTGGTGAGCCGCCTCACCCTCACCCCGAGGCTTACACTCACCCCAAGTCTCACCATGAGTCCCACACCGAGTCTCACCATGAGTCTCACCATGAGTCTCACCATGAGTCTCACCGTGAGTCTCACCATGAGTCTCACCACGAGCCTCACCATGAATCTCACCACGAGCCTCACCATGAGACTCACCGTGAGTCTCACCATGAGTCTCACCATGAATCTCACTCCGAGACTCACCGTGAGTCTCACCATGAGTCTCACCATGAGCCTCACCATGAGTCTCACACCGAGTCTCACCATGAGACTCACCATGAATCTCACTCCGAGACTCACCATGAGACTCACCATGAGTCTCACCATGAGACTCACCACGAGTCTCACCATGAGTCTCACCATGAGCCTCACCATGAGTCTCACCACGAGCCTCACCATGAGTCTCACCATGAGTCTCACTCCGAGTCTCACCACGAGACTCACCACGAGTCTCACCACGAGGCTCACCACGAGTCTCACCACGAGCCTCACCATGAGTCTCACCATGAGCCTCACCACGAGGCTCACCATGAGTCTCACCATGAGCCTCACCACGAGTCTCACCATGAGGCTCACCACGAGGCTCACCATGAGTCTCACCATGAGGCTCACCATGAGTCTCACCATGAGTCTCACCATGAGTCTCACACCGAGTGTCACTCCGAGTCTCACCACGAGTCTCACCATGAGACTCATGGTGAGACTCACCATGAGTCTCACCATGAGTCTCACCACGAGTCTCACCATGAGTCTCACCATGAGCCTCACCATGAGTCTCACCATGAGTCTCACCATGTGTCTCACCGTGAGTCTCACCGTGAGTCTCACCATGAGACTCACCATGAGTCTCACCATGAGGCTCACCATGAGTCTCACCATGAGTCTCACCACGAGTCACACCGTGAGTCTCACCATGAGGCTCACCACGAGTCTCACCATGAGACTCACCATGAGTCTCATGGTGAGTCTCACCATGAGGCTCACCATGAGGCTCACCATGAGTCTCACCATGAGTCTCACCATGAGCCTCACCATGAGTCTCACCATGAGTCTCACCATGAGTCTCACCGTGAGTCTCACCATGAGTCTCACCGTGAGTCTCACCATGAGTCTCACCACGAGACTCACCATGAGTCTCACCACGAGTCTCACCATGAGACTCACCATGAGTTTCACCATGAGTCTCACCATGAGCCTCACCACGAGCCTCACCCCGAGTCTCACCATGAGTCTCACCATGAGACTCACCATGAGCCTCACCATGAGTCTCACCCCGAGTCTCACCACGAGTCTCACCATGAGTTTCACTCCGCGTCTCACCCCGAGTCTCACCACGAGTCTCACTCCGAGTCTCACCCCGAGTCTCACCATGAGGCTCACCATGAGTCTCACCGTGAGGCTCACCATGAATCTCACACTGGGTCTCACCACGAGTCTCACCACGAGTCTCACCATGTGTCTCACCCCGAGTCTCACCACGAGTCTCACACCGAGCCTCACCATGAGACTCACCATGAGGCTCACCATGAGTCTCACCATGAGTCTCACACCGAGCCTCACCATGAGACTCACCATGAGGCTCACCATGAGTCTCACCATGAGCCTCACTCCGAGTCTCACCATGAGCCTCACCATGAGTCTCACACCGAGTCTCACCATGAGTCTCACCATGAGCCTCACCATGAGTCTCACCCCGAGTCTCACCATGAGTCTCACCATGAGTCTCACACCGAGCCTCACCATGAGACTCACCATGAGTCTCACCATGAGTCTCACCATGAGCCTCACCATGTGTCTCACCATGAGTCTCACCGTGAGTCTCACCATGAGTCTCACACCGAGCCTCACCATGAGACTCACCATGAGGCTCACCATGAGACTCACCATGAGCCTCACTCCGAGTCTCACCATGAGCCTCACCATGAGTCTCACACCGAGTCTCACCATGAGCCTCACCGTGATTCTCACCATGAGTCTCACCATGAGCCTCACCATGAGTCTCACACCGAGGCTCACCATGAGTCTCACCATGAGTCTCACCATGAGCCTCACCATGAGCCTCACACCGAGTCTCACCCTGAGACTCACCATGAGTCTCACCATGAGCCTCAACATGAGTCTCACACCGAGTCTCCCCCTGAGTCTCACACCGAGGCTCACCATGAGCCTCACCATGAGCCTCACCATGAGTCTCACCATGAGCCTCACCATGAGCCTCACTCCGAGTCTCACACCGAGTCTCACCATGAGTCTCACTCCGAGTCTCTCTCTAGCCCCTGTCCCAAACCCGAAACCTTCCCCAAAGCAGGGTTGGGCCTGGCTAGTGATGGGGACTGCAGTGAAGTGGCCAGGCTCAGCCGGGGTGGGCCTGGCTAGTGATGGGGACTGCAGTGAAGTGGCCAGGCTCAGCCGGGGTGGGCCTGGCTAGCGATGGGGACTGCAGTGAATTGGCCAGGCTCAGCCGGGTTGGGCCTGGCTAGCAATAGGGACTGCAGTGGAGTAGCCAGGCTCAGCCGGGTTGGGCCTGGCTAGCGATGGGGACTGCAGTGGAGTAGCCAGGCTCAGCTGGGGTGAGCCTGGCTAGCGATGGGGACTGCAGTGACGTGGGAAAGCTCAGCCGGGGTGAGCCTGGCTAGCGGTGGGGTGTGGGCCCCGTTCTGGCACAGGAGGAGGCGGCACGGTGAAGGAGCTGCTGACCCAGCAGCTCGAGGCGCTGGTGCCAACGTCGGGGAACCCAGCCACTCGGCCACAACAACAACCACAGCAGCAGCAACAACAACAACAACAACCGCACGAGTCGCCCGGCAAGTGTGTGACACACACACGGAGAGCCGGGGACACGGAGACACGCGTATAGACACGGGGACACAGGCAGAGACACAAGGACACGTGGCCTACAGACACGGGGGGGTGGGGGGGGGAGAGCATAGGGACACACGCAGAGACACGGGGACACGGAGACACGCGTAGAGACACGGGGACACAGGCAGAGACACGGGGACACGGGGACACGCGTAGAGACACG